ACGATGTTGTTGTTGTTATAGATTCAGCTACTCGGAACAAGTTCCAAGTAGCACGGGCTATGGTGAGCCCGTAACTTACCTGGCGCAGGAGCGGGGCAAGTAGCACGGGCTATGGTGAGCCCATAGTGGACTTACCTGCCACAGGAGCGGTGTGCTGTGATGGAATGTACGAACTCTTGTATAAATAAATAATACAAAACAAAGAATGATCCTACCCAAATCGCCCTTTAACTGATCAAAAATGGATCTAACAAACCACTACTAATGTTCAAATGACATGATTTTGTAATCGGTATTAAAGCAGATTCAATTATGTTCCAATTGGAAATGCTTTTATAATTGAAAAATAATTTATTGGATAAAAATGAGCAGCAGAAATGTAGAGGTTTACAACAGAGCCGCCAAGTTGGATTAAGGGGTGGTGTTTGTCTCACACGCGTAAGGCAAGCTTATCAACGGCTCTGACGTCACGCCCGCCGTGACAACACCCGCTGCAGAAGGCTGCGGAGCTCAACAGAGATATGTCACATAAAGGTAAGAAAGACACCATTGCCAGCGATGGCGTAAGGCAGATTCTTAGAGTGGCAGGTTATAATTATAGATGGGGCGGTGTGTATGGGAGACGCTCGCCCCGCTACCTTCATCATTCCTACACGTATATACCTACCCACACATTCAACCCCCTAAACACACACACACACACACACACACACACACACACACACACACACACACACACACACACACACACACACACACACACACACACACACGGGGGGGGGGGGTCTGGTAGTTGAGCGGACAGTGGCCCGGGTTCGAGTCCCGGACCAGGCAGAAACAAATGGGCAAAGTTTCTTTAACCCTGAATGCCCCTGTTACCTAGCAGTAAATAGGTACCTGGGAGTTAGACAGCTGTTACAGAGCTGCTTCCTGGGTGGGTGGGTGTAAAAAAATATTAGTTACTGATTGACAGTTGAGAGGCGGGCCGAAAGAGCAGAGCTCAACCTCCGCAAGAACTACTAGGTGAATACATACATAATTAGGGGGGTCCTCGCGGCTGAGTGGACAGCGCTCTGGGGACGTAGTCCTAAGGGCCCGGGTTCGATCCAAATGAAGGCAGAAAAAAATGGGCAGAGTTTCCTTCATTCTGGTGCACTGTTCACCTAGCAGTAAATAGGTACCTGGGAGTTAGAACGCTGCTTCCTGTGGATGTGTGCGCGCGCCTGCGTGTGTTAAAGAAATATATGTAGTAGAAATTATAGAGGAAAAAATAAATTGTTAGAAAGGAGGGGTCAAAGAGCTAATAGCAATTCTTCAAATGCAAATAGTGTATAAGATGCTCCAATAAGACTTAGATATGCTGTAGAGATGGTCTGAGAAATGGCTACTGGATTACACCACCACCAAATGTAAGATGATGGAAACAGGACTGTATACAATGCAGGGAAACTGCCTCCCAGTAACGACGGGATATGGTGGATATAACACCAAGCCTAACTCCGGAGGCAATCCTCTTTGCTTACAAAAGTCAGAACCTCATAGTGGAACCTAAATAAGGAGGTATTTAGATCACAGCACACCGCATGAGACCTATTTAAGAGTAGGTCACAGGCAGTATTTTTTTAATGGAGCCCCGTCGCGGAGCCCCATATAAAAAAATTTAAAAACTAGGAAAGGATCAGAGGTTTTTAACAATACTCGTCCCAGAATTGTGAGGGATAGGGTACGGAGAGACTGAAAGAACTAAAAACTTGCCGTTATTAGAAGAGAGAAAGGAGACATGATAGATACCTATATAATTGTTAGTGGGATTGACAGAGTGGAGAAAGAGAGATGTTCACAATGAATACAAATAGAACAAGTTTCAGCTAGAAATAGATACATTTCAAATAGAACAACAACAATAGAATAAATTTCAAATAGAACAACAACAAGGATGGCAGTTTGAGAAACAGAAGAGTAATTTAACATTGACATGCTCACTCCCTTGGGTAGGTCATTTCACATAAATTAAAAGCAATGGTCCCAAGAGTCAACTTATCATTCAGTAGATGTGTAGGTAGTGGTGGTAGTAGCTATGGTGTAGGTTGATTGATTGATGAAGATTAAGCCACCCAAGAGGTGGCACAGGCATGAATGGCCAGCCCGTAAGTGGTAGGGTTTTTTTTTGAGTGAATGTGATCTTTAGTCTCATCAAGTTACAGCCCCGCTCATGTGCCAGGTAAGTCCACTACGGGCTCACTATAGCCTGTGCTACTTTGAACTTTTTGTTCTTAGTAGCTGAATCTAAAACATCATCATCTTTGGTCGTGAATGTATGTCGAGGTGTAGGTTGTAGTGGTGGGGGTGATATAGTTGAGGTGGGCCTAATAATGGTAGTTGAGATGCATGCAGGTTGTGGAAGTTAAAGGCAGAAGTGAAGGTGATAAATGTATCGGAAGTATCGGAAGTGGTGGTAGCAGTCGAGGTGTAGGTTGTGGTAGGGGTGGTATAGGTGCCTGGTACAGTTTCTTCCTGTATAGGAAGGAGGGGTGAGTGTTGTACATTCTGCTTTGGCGATATGTTCCATCACATAAAGACTGAAACCCCTACCCAATAAACTCGTTCTTCGGGGCCAAAAAAACAAGAAATAGTGGTGATGGTGGTAGCCGAGATGCAGGTAGTGGTACGACCGCATGGGGAGGGTTGGTATGCCTTAACCCACAATCCTCTCGGATATCATTCATATTTCTAGGATATTTCCGAGAAGCAATATTTACCAAGAGTGTACATCACTGTGGGAGGCGCTGAGAACTAGAGCAGTTTCAGCAAGGTGGCGGCAACTCCCTCGTACGCCATACTCTCTTCCACGCATTCAATATTTGAAGGGACAATGCTTGTAATGTTAGAGGATGGCGGTGTGTGGCAGGTTCCACTTCTCTCCCCCCCCCTTTACCATCCCTCCATGACATGAGAGGTGTTCCTCTAGCCTTCTCTCTCCCTCTCCCCCATCCATGCCCCCCCTTCCTTCCATCCCTCATCCGCCCTTCCCTTCCCTTCCTCCCTAATTCGTTCCCTACATCTCTTCTTCCCTTCCCACCTCTAGGCAAAATTTCTCTGCACTTCCTCTAAGCAACTCAAATATTTTTTTCAGTACGTCTATGCACATGCCACATTAAAGCAAAACTATCAAGACAAATAAATAATGCCTTAATTGACGCCGGTAAGACCTTGACCAGAGGCCATTAACACCAGATCATGATGACCAAAGGTATATGTATATGTTTATCTCTCAGAATGTTTGGTAATATATGTTTATTGTTTGTGATGTGTGTCTATGTATGTATTAAACACGATGTACTGAACGGGGTGAGAATAGCTTGAGCTACCTCATCCCTTTGTGTGTATTTTACCTCAATAAACTTATTTCAAATCCAATGATGACCAAGTCACATCTACCCGTCTCGGCGATGCATTATTATTTATTAATTGTGGCTAAAACTAAGTGTTTTGTTTTGGTATCAGCGTGTGTACATTTATTTTGACAATTAATACATTTAGTGGAAAGTGATTCATGTATCTTCAACCTTTCGTCATTTAAGGAAAAAAAACGCCGGAAAAGTACTGGCAATACCAACCTTTCAGTTACTCTTATTTAGACAGATACATTAATATTTACTTTCAATATACATATGTAATTATTTAAACTACATATATTTAATCCAAAGTACCTACTAAATCAAAGTTGCAATGATTAGTAAATAGTTAAAATATCTTCATAATTCAATTAATCAGCTGGCAAGGCCCGCCTGATTCGCCCGCCGGGTGGAGACGCCATGACCCAACCACGTGGTCACCCCCCTTGTCACATTTATGTCTTAAAATACCATGATGCTTCATGATATGGTGTTCCCTGATAGGCCATGGTGTTTCATGATATGCTATGGCGTTCCCTGATAGGCCATGATGTTTCATGATATGCTATGGTGTTCCCTGATAGGTCATGGTGTTTCATGATATGCTATGGCGTTCCCTGATAGGCCATGGTGTTTCATGATATGCTATGGCGTTCCCTGATAGGCCATGGTGTTTCATGATATGTTATGGCGTTCCCTGATAGGTCATGGCGTTTCATGATATGCTATGGCGTTCCCTGATAGGCCATGGTGTTTCATGATATGCTATGGCGTTCCCTGATAGGCCATGGTGTTTCATGATATGTTATGGCGTTCCCTGATAGGTCATGGCGTTTCATGATATGCTATGGCGTTCCCTGATAGGCCATGGTGTTTCATGATATGCTATGGCGTTCCCTGATAGGCCATGGTGTTTCATGATATGCTATGGCGTTCCCTGATAGGCCATGGTGTTTCATGATATGCTATGGCGTTCCCTGATAGGCCATGGTGTTTCATGATATGCTATGGCGTTCCCTGATAGGCTATGGTGTTTCATGATATGCTATGGCGTTCCCTGATAGGCCATGGTGTTTCATAATATGCTATGGTGTTTCCTGATTGGTTTACCCAAACGGTTATTTAAACTACACGTTTTATTCCAAGTGCCTACTAAATCAAAGTTGCAATGATTAGTAAATAGCCAAAATATCTTCATAATTAAACTGAATTAGCTAGCAAGGCTGATAGATAAAAGGCCCGCCTGATTCGCCCGCTGGGTGGAGAAGCCATGACCCAACCACGTGGTCACCTCTTATCACATTTATTCTATAGTGTTTATTCTATCATTTATTCTATATACCAAACGCTTCTATCGTGCCGCAGATGCCAAATCGGAACTTTGCTGCAGTGACCTGACTGCATTTATCACAATATATGACGATTCTATAGCTGTGGTATAGGATCCAGCACTAAAACTATAAGATGCGGGAAAGATACTTTTGTTTAGTTCATTTATTATGCACCCCATACCCATCCTGAGGGCCGTAGTGGAAAAGGTTACAGAGGGACATATTGGGCTCAGAAACTAACTCCCCAAATTCATTTAGTTATGCAAGATACAATATTGATAAGGTGGTTACATAGTATAATGATGTGAGACAAGTCAGATTATGTACCACAACAATTGTAAAAATATCTCAAACATATTATATAATGCAGACGATGAGTCACGGTATTATGTGATGCAGACAACAATGATGAAACTGAAGGAAACGGTGCACTTCACGTTTACTGATATAAATGCCATGATCAAGTCAATAAACCCAGCAATACCAAGGAGGATAAAGAGGTCAGATTATTAAGAGAAAATGACAGAATTCTACAAGATGGACTAAAGGAACTGATGAAACAACTCCAGCATTTGTAGTATTCAATACAAAATAATAAATTGGGGGCGTTATAACTGCAATAAAGGAGGAGAATCCAGAGGATAATCCAACAGGGTAAACATTGGATTTAAAGGAATGAAAGTAATGCAGAAGCTTTCTTGAAAGAAAAGCAAAATATAGCCTCACTATAAGATACTGTTGTATCTTATGTAACTGTTGATAATCCTCAAATTTTACTATAATGTAGCTACTAATTTTCTTTAAATTTTTTTCACAATGTACATGTTTACATTTTCAATTTTGCTACAAATTACATACTTAATATTATCTGTTACATAAAGGACCTGCCCGAAACACTGTGTGTTAGTGGCTTTACAAGAATGTAAAACCATCAATGCTATGTACAGTACTCTCATAATCCCAACGTACCTTTTTGCATATATAAAAATAAAAATAATAAAATTTACATTTAAACTAGAGATAGACTAGAGTTGATAAACTTACTTCAAAAACACAAATTCAAGATAAAAGATAAGGCAAGGTCAGGTGATCAAGATAAAAGGAAAAAGAGGACAAGGTCCCTGACTCAGTGAATCAACACTAACAGTAGGCACAAAACCAAAGAGACATTCTGTATGTTGTCTCTCTGGCTTTATACATACAGAGCAATAATGTCCACATTGCAGGACCAGTCTCTCATCCACATAGATACAATGTTAGGAGTTTACAATATCTCTACAGTTCACACAAATGCTAGGAGTGTAGTCAATATATTTGAGACACTATGTGCATATACTGAAGTTGGGAATCCCAACATGGGATTAGCTAAACATGGCAATGAGAAGAGAAAGTTTAAGGGAACTTTTATCTCCCATGGTACCAACCACCTTTCTAAAGGGACAGAACAATGAGAGAAGGAGTACACTGTACTGAACTATACATAAAAAGAGGATGACTAGAAGCAACAATGCAGACTTAAGCAACATGGGATGCTCAAAATCTGTTTAATGCAATATACTGTAATAGCTCAAAATATCAGTAAACTAACAGAGGGAGTATGTTGCTGAGCAGATACAGCAATGTCAAAGTTACAGAACTGCTTCATGTGATACAGGCAGCAGCTGAAGCATGAAATATAATGAGGGATTTTAACAATGATACAATAGACTGGGTGAAGTTAACATCTCAAACAGGAGAGTAATTTCTTGATTTTGTACAGAACTCCTCTCTCATACAGCATATGATTGAGCCCATCTGAGGTACGGGTAACAACATACTTGATCTTGTGCTAACAACAAAAGTGTACAGTATATGATTGATCAATTCTGAATGAGAGAAGCTCAGACCTCCAGGTGACCATTAAAGTCTGAGACAGAATGCAAATCTTGAAATATATGAATGTCCAGGATGATGACATTCTTAACTACCTTTGAGGAGGCTACCAGAGAGAGAGAGAGAGAGAGAGATACAAAATACCTTCTGGATGGATTTAATAGAAAATCAAGACACTGAAGCATCATGGAACAATTTCACAAAGGTCATAATTGAATTAAAAAAGTGCCGAGAAAAGAGGAGAGGAAACAAAAATAAACCAAATGGATGGCAAAGACAAAAGAAAAAAAATTGACAACTAAGCTCAACCATTGGAAGTTTATCAGTTCACCAAGAATCATGTAGATTATGAGACATACTCAGAAGAGAATCAATTAATTAAGGAATATCCCCATTATGTTTGAAATACTCAGGAAGAGCATTGACAAATTTTGGGAATCAAAAGCTCAAAGTGTGTATAGAATTAAATCCATACTAGTCAATGTAACTGGTAAAAAGTAACTGGTTGATGAACTGTGTCTATACATGAAACTCATATTTAGAAAAATCTCTAGGTTAAGGAAAGTCCCCATAGATTGGAATTATGCAAACGTCACCAAGATCTCCAAGAAAGGCAGAGAAAGTTCAGCAGAAAACTACAGACCAACCAGTCTAACCTCACACATCTGCAAACTTTTGGAGAGCATCCTAAGGAAGGAAATCATTCACCGTTACACAGTTTACAATTTTACAAAAGCATTACAATATCATTTTGTTTAAAAAAAAATTCCAACAAGCCTGCTCATACTTCTGGAAACTGTAACCATATACTGTATACAGATAAAGGACTTCTAGAAGATGTAGTGTACATGGACTTTTAAAAAGCTTTTGATATAATACCACACAAGAAGATGGCACAGAAGCACACAGAATAAAGTGTAAAATACTAGAATGGACAAAACAATGATTAAAACAAAGCATAGGGTTGTCCTAAATAGAAAAGAATCTAACAGGAAACATTTTGAGTAGAGTGCCACAATATTCCATCCTAGGATCAACCCTTTTTGTAATACATTACACAGCAATGACATGGATGGGAATACTGTACAGTATTACAAGGCACATAATTAAATTTGCAAATGATGCAAAGATCCATGGTAGAGTGGAAAGTGAAAATGATACCGAGGCCTTGCAAAATGATCTATATGAACTCTGTAAGTGGTCAAAAGAGTAGCAAATGCTCTTAATATTGAAAAATGAAAGACCTTTAATTCATATACTGCATAACAGTACATAGCATAGCTACTATATCAATAACATGATCTTACAACAAACTAATAGAGAAAAGGAAATAGGAATTATGATCCATCACTCATTAAAAGTTGTTTAATAAATAGGATCTGCAGTTAAACACAAAAAAAAAATAAAAAGCAAACCAACAATAGGAACAATCAAACAAAGTGGTTATTCAGCTGCAAAATTCTCTGGTGCACATCCACCTTTGGATAACTGTATCCAAGCATGGAGACTTCATCTTAAAAAAAAAAAAATGCCTGCTTTTAGAAAAAGTTCAACACAGTGACAAAAATCATCTCAAAACTGATAAATCTTGTCAGGAAAGTACTTTGGTACTTCCTGTCCCCAATGAAGCCACTAAAGATGGTGTGGCCTTCAGGTAAACTGAGGTAAATGTATCTACTGAGACATTTGTTATATATACAGTATTTGCTGTTGTGGGTTGCATCATGGGGAAGATAAACTGTTAGCTTAAGGAGACATTGATAAGCCACACAGGCTTCTTGCTTCTGACAATGGCAAGCCTGCATTACATTACAGTGCATGCATTACAGTATGGTACTGGTATTATGATACTGATGACATATACAATTTTATTTTATACCACCGTGGGTGGGGGCACTCATGGTGATTTAAAATAAAATAAAGTCAAAGCCGAGCTTTGACTGAACCTATCAGAATCAAGGAAGGAAATACTGTACAGTGGCACCTCGACATATGATTGCCCCTACTTACGATAATTTCGAGTTACGATGTAAATTTCATCGAAAAATGCAACTCGACATCCGATGGTGTTGTCGACTTTCGATATTTGTTGGTACACGTTCGGGTCGACCGAGCGCGTGGTTCCCAGTCACGCGGCCAACCTGCCTCAGTTTACTACAGCTGCCCGCTTAGTGACAATCGCGCCTATAAGAAATTCCGCTTTTGTGGTGATTTTTTGCATTTTGAACATTAAAGTAATTATTATATATCACACCATGAGTCCCAGGAAAGTCAGTGGTAAGGCTCAACATATGAAAACCCATGTAAGGATGACCATAGAGCAGAAACAAGAGTACAGAATGTCTCTTCCTCAATAATTAAGAAAATGTGTGCAGCATGGGAAGAATTGCAAACCTTTGCTGAAACGACTCACCCAAATCAAACTGCAGTAGGTCGTTGCCTTAACCTATTCAATGACACTGTGATGCATCATTACAGACAAATGTTAAAATGAAGGGAAAAACAAATGCCTCTTGACAAATTTGTAGTGAGACAAACAAGCACTGAACCACAACCAGGTCCTAGTGGTATTCAGGCAAAACGTAGGAGAGAGAGAGTACCCCAGAGAAAACATCACTGCCTGATGTGATAATGGAAGGGGACTCCCCTTCCAAACAGTAACAACTCTCTTCCTCCCCCCTCATCACCATCTTCCATACACCATCAAGAGCCCTTCATAAAGGTAAGAGACACTTTGGTACTGTATTGTAGTTAGAAAAAACATTGTATTCAGTATAAAATGTATTTGTATGTTAATATTTTGGAGGGTTTTGAATGGATTAATTCAATTCCCTTTATTTCTTATAGGAAAAATTGCTTCGACTTACAATATTTCGACTTGCGATCCGTCTCTGGGAACGGATTAGCATCGTAAGTCGAGGCCCCATTGTATATCACTTACAACTCATAGATGAAGCCCTAGCATCAATTACCCACAACGTATTTCAAACATATTAACCAAAAAGGCCAAGATAAAGATGAAAAATGCATTAGCTGTCGTATGCTACCAGCTAGTATTATTAGGTTGACACTTCAGTAAGTTCACAGAAACCATTCCTGACATACTGCAGATATGTTGAGTTCTTCACACACGGTGCCGCTTTACAAACTTAGTAATTAACAATGAAATTCTGCATGATGCACACAAACCATCGATTTTTATTGCAAAGAATTTGTGAACATGCTTGTTGGTGACATTGTTGAGGATTTTTTAATTTATCACAAATGGATTGAAAAAAAGAAACACTTCTTTACCTTGTCAGTGTGCTGTTTCCAAATGATCTATAAATCTAGAAGGCTTCACTGGTTTCTTAGAAAAAAACTTTTCATATATTAGGCACACTGCTAGATGATTGCTTGGTGCTTGAATATATCCATATTTTGGATATTCAACATCATACTGTTGACAGTTCTTCTTGGATTTCTCTACTGCCATTTTCACTGAAATTAGGAATGTAAATTTAATTGTAGTACAGGGTATTAAAAAAGTTATTAGTTTAAAGTAAAACGGTGAAGAAAAGCAGTGCAATTGACTGAGTACCAACAGACAGACTTACTGCCAAACCAATATCTTACAGTGAATAAATTACTTAATCTTAAAATTAAAACTAAAGATTATTTAAAATGTTTTAATCTACTCTGACCAGAAAAATGCTGTAAAATGTGCATTTATATAAAATCTGAGCCCTACCCATAATATATAACACTTACATACTTGCACACATGTCCCCGTGTGTACATTATCCCCGAAATGCTGTACAGATTACTGGGTTTGGGCATAGTACAGTACTGTATATATACTTGCTTGATCTAGAATTCGAACATTCTGCTTATAACTTATTTTGTATGTACAGGTATGTACTTTTTGCTAAATGAACATTACATTCAGTTGTAGACATACACATGTACATACAGGCATATTACTAACACACTTGCATGGTGGGGAAGGGACACACTCAAGACCAAGCAGAAGGAAGAGTGATAATTATGAATTAATTATATCATTATAATAATTATTATAATAATAATTGTTGTATTTTATAATTACTGTATCACTTCCTTCTGCTTAGTCTTGAAGGAAGCTGGCCTTGGGTGAAAGAGGGATGTGACGATCTCTGTCTGGAACCTGTAGGTGCGGGACCGGGACGTCCACCTCCTGGGGCTCGTGCAGCCCAGGCTCTGCTTCAAGAGGCTGGAGTCGTTCTTGCTCTTGATGGGGTAGTTCTTCTCCGGCCCTGACCATGGCAGTCTCCGGGTTTGGCATCCCTGTGCCTTCTTTTACCAACTTCAAGGTCAACTCTGGAGCGCACAGTTCCTGCGACGGCGCTGGAACCAATTGTATTGGCATTTGCCTTTCCATTGGAGACTTCTGGTGCCGTGGAGAGGGGGGAAGCTAGGGACCTGCTGCTTGGGTAACAGCTTCTCCTCCATATCAACCTACCGTGGCTTTGCGCTCTGGAGAGGCCACTCCAGACTAACAACAAGAGTGCAACTCCATAGTCTCCTGAGACTGATGGATACCTACTACTGCATGGCTAAGTGTTGTATTACAGTAAAAAGGTAATTTTAAAATGTCAAACGACAGAGTAATAATCTTATCCACTGGAATAGCAAAATATTTTCCAGATACCACAAGGCAGAGCAGAAGCCAGACATCCACTTAGTGTCAAGGTTGAACCAGGAAATCTTGTCAAACTAGCCTGTATCAATTGCATGCAGATTATCTTGGTCATAACATTAGCTTAATGGCCAATCAACAAATATATTGTAGCCCTGAACATATATATTCCACAACTATAAATATTATAATCCTGGTTATAGTTACATTATATAGCCAGGACTATTTGAGTGTTGGTCCCAATAAACTTAAATTATGCTACTATTATACTCTATGTTATGCTATGTTATAGTTGCTTTTCTAAATTATACCTTAGTATTTTTATTCTGTTAATAATGTAAATAAACTACTGAACTGTTGCTAGAACTACTCACTCCATATTGTAATAGTCTATTATTGTTATCATTAAGTATCACCTTTTTATTGTACTCATTTGTTATTTTTCTTGAACTTCCTCGTTTTGTTAGCTTTCTTCTCTTTTTAGTATAAAGTGCACACCAACCCCTTCACACTTTTAATGAATTTTTTCTAAATTAATTTTAAGTTTTGCTGGAAAAGCTTTGCATAATAGTGGTTTCATTAGTTTGTTTAACTCCTGTTCCTATAATTGTATGTTACTCCTATGTTCTTAGTACCCTGTATATACTGTACATTGTTTTGAACAAAAATTTGAACTTGAATTTGACTAAAGCAGACTCGTAAGTATATCTTTAAATTTATATATGCCCCATGGTAAGGTATTTAGTTTGAAGCTTATATTTCTTTCTTGAGACATAAAACTCTTACATTTAATAACGAATTTGCGTGAAATAAGCATTGTTCTGAGATGAATACTGCGGGTTTCGAGCTCGACGAGCGACGAAAACTGCCACTTTTATACAACTGCAAATATATTCGGTTTTACTCAAAATATTTGTCTGGTAGAGGTATTACATATAGATTCCATTTTTGTCTTTCTGCTGATTAATAAATAATGTTGGTTTAATAAGTTATCAAGATGTTTTCAACAATATTCTTTCGGCATTCGTCTATTCCAACATGGGTGACCATTTTGAAAATGTGATACATGGGTTAACCCATACCATAGTTGGGTCAGTTACCATTATGGTCCGGAACACATATACACCGATAAATGGATGACAGGTCTTGGTGAATACTGTACTATGTATCCCTGTTCAACATACAGTATATGAAATACAGATTATGACTAAAAAAATGGAAAATGCATTTCAACGCAGATGAACACATAAGTATATGTATATATACACCGTAATTGCAAATTACAAATGTTACTAAACCATATATAAAAAGTTTGTTACATAAATACTGTCTTATTTCCCCGTGTATTGGCCACAAATTGGCCTACGTACAGGTCAATAGGACTTCTGCAGTTTCCTTGACAATCATGTTCTTATGTTTTTAATACAAATATTACATTATAAGTTAAGGGGTCGTGTGGTGCGGTTGTCAGTGGTCGGGTCACGGGGTTAGTGGCCTTGGCACCACATAAGTGTTTAGACAAGGTTTCTTGTCTCGGCAGTTAGGCAACTGCTGTGGGTTATATTCTGAGGAATTGGTCTGGAGAAAGGACCTCAACAAACCTTAGGAACCTTAGGAAATGTAGATGTTTATCTCTCAATGTTTGGTAATGTTTATTGTTTGTGATGTGTGTATATGTATGTATTAACACGATGTACTGAACGGGGTGAGAATAGCTTGAGCTACCTCATCCCTTTGTGTGTATTTTACCTCAATAAACTTATTTCAATTTCAATCTCAATTTCAACAAACCTGCGTTCCTGCAAATTTGGAGGACTGGCTGTTGTTGTTGTGGTTGTGTTGGACACTTACACTACTCTGTCAGTCTACATTTTCTTTGGTTAACAATAACTTGGGTAAACTTTGGTATTCTTGGTGCATTTATGTGAATTTACACGAGGGTCGCTATATCTCTAGTGACCTCGACGAGGACAGGAAGCCGACGTCTTGTCACAGGTCCCCTTATTTGCCCTGATGATTTTATCGAGCTGGCTTTTGAAATTCAGCATTCTTTCGGCATTTACGGCTTCGGTGGGGAGAAGGTTCCATGGGTTTGTAACCCTGTGAGTGAAAAAGCATCTCTTGTTGTCTGTCCTTCATATATTAAACGTATAGTGAGGTCGTCCCAAGGTAGACCTGCTGACCCTCCCAGGATGCTACTCCACAACACCTGACTAATTTTCAGGTACCTATTTACTGCTAAGTGAACATTTGCATTACGTGAAAGGAAACGTGCCCAATCATTTCTGTCCCGCTCGGGATTCGAATCCGGGATTCGCAATTCGACGTCGAGAACAATCATGAAAACGGCAACAGAGCCTACGCTCTGATGATTGTATATTGATGATTGTATATTGTTTCTGCTTAATAGTGTCTCTCAGAAGGGGGTCTACTTGGACCACCAAGGGGATGAATTTGAAGTCTAAGGGAAGGAAATTTGTCCAGGGGGAGAAAATGACAATTGTGGAGAAATATACGTAATTATGTTTCTATGTTATGTCTATCATATTTATGTTTTGTTGCAGTAATAATTGCTGTATATAAATTTCAAGAAAGAAAACGGGTCTTTATCTGCAGTTGTAGGTTGCGCCCTGCCGTCACGCATATTTCTCCAGGTACCGGTAAATATAGATGTTTTTTGATAGTCCAGTATAGTTTGCTGTATGAGACGATTAAATATATTACTATTAAGTATGTCTGGGTATGTTATATAAGGTAAGCATAAAGAAATAATGTTTATTTCAGGGAAAATAGTAAGAAGAAAAAGTTATGTCTGAAGAACTGCACAGGACGCTTGTAAATAGGGATTTAATATACCTGAATTTACCCGAAGGCCACCACGTCTAGTGATATGATTAATGGATTAAAAGCCGGTGGATTGCTAAAGGTTCCCCCATTATTCTTGAGGTGTACCCTAATTCTCGGTGTATATACACTGAGATTGATTGATTGTTGCTGCCTGCGGCGGCCACACTATATTATGTGTTCATCCTGCGAGCAGTCCTCCTCACACAAATCGTCGAACCACATACACCTTCAGATAGACAACATCAACATCACTAGTAAAAATGAATGAATGTTCCTTGGCCAAGGAACTTGTTCCATGTTCCATAGACAAGAGATTTAGTAGTACAGTCGTTCCCGACTCACAATCGGAAATTCTGGCTTCTATTCTCGGTCGGGACAGAAATGGTTGGGCGGGTTTCCTGTCACCTAATGTATCTGTTCACTTTGCAGTAAATAGGTACCCAGGAACTACTCAGCTTGTTGTGGGGTTACATCCTGGGAAAGGTCAGTAATTTGACCTTGAGGGGACCTCGATATAAGCATTGGCTGTCTGTACTCCGACACAATGAATTTTTATATAGCACACAGCCCAAAACATATCTAAAACTGTTAGTATGCTAAAAAAAATATATTATGGTCCCCACTCTGCTCTTATACTATACTACTCCCTAATCTTTATCTATTTAACTAATTTCATCTCATCCTCATTTCATCTCAACCTAATTTCATCCTCATAGTTTCCTACCTTGTGCTTCAAACTCACACTGTATCTTCTATTGCCCACTTCCCCAATATTAGTACTTAAGACATATATATCCTTACCAGTGTAATCACCTCTGTCAGCTTATGTTGTAGTTATCTGTTGATATAAAATCCTTGCTACAATGTACCTTTTCATCTTACCTGATATGTTAGATTAAGGACCTGCCCGAAACGTTATGCCTGTTTGCGGCTTTGCATGAACGTAAAAATACCAAGCTTATATAATCTCACAAACCCATTGTACCTTCTTGCAAATAAATTATTATTATTATTATTAAAACGGAACATTAAGTTAATTTTACGAGCCGCTTTGATATTTAGCTCATTGTAAATCTCAAAGATTATTATATCAACATAGCTCCTTTTAAATCACTCAAAGATTATTATATCAACTATTGCAACTTCAAACGCGGTTGTCTCTTCGTCAAGGACGATTATTTTTTTTATATACAAGAGTTCTCACAATCTTGTAAAGCCAGTTTGATATATTCAGATTAATGTGTAGTTGAACACAGTTTAGGTAAAGAAGGTTATAAATTATAAACAATATATTTGGTAAAAATAACTATATTAATGATGTAAAAAAATATGATGTTTAGAAATACATTGGTAGTTCTGTAGAGAAACAATACATATATTGCATACAAAATTTCATATATGGCAATTATATTAACAAACTAAAAATACATGCCAATAATTATACCTGCGAACAGTATAGCAACTGATACATAATTTCTTTAGATGCTATTCTTTCACTTTTCAATTATTCGGTAACTACCAAATACTACATAATTTTCATGGCAAAACTTATTCATAGTACATAACCATCAAACTTGTACAAAATTTGTCGTTTTGCCTCTTATCTAACTTAATATTATTGTCATTTAAAATATGTAATTCTTATCTTATAAAAAATAGTGTGGTCGTTTTTAGACCTGCCAGCAAGTCTGCCGCAGTGACCAAATTTAGTCGTTATACAATTATGGTATACAGTAGCCTAGCACTGATATTCAGTAGCCTAGCACTAATATACAGTAGACTAGTATTATGGCATACAGTAGACTAGTATTATGGCATACAGTAGACTAGCATTATGGCATACAGTAGACTAGCATTATGGCATACAGTAGACTAGCATTATCTCATACAGTAGACTAGCATTATGGCATACAGTAGACTAGTATTATGGCATACAGTAGACTAGTATTATGGCATACAGTAGACTAGTATTATGGCATACAGTAGACTAGCATTATCTCATACAGTAGACTAGCATTATGGCATACAGTAGCCTAGTATTATGGCATACAGTAGCTTAGTATTATGGCATACAGTAGCCTAGTATTATGGCATACAGTAACCTAACACTGAGACACAGTAGCTAGCGCTTTAACATACAACAGCCCAACAGCGTAAATTCCTTAAATCTCTTGTAAGATCATTCACACAGCACCAGAACCACCGTTGCTACCAGCGCCATGGTTAAGGTTGGTCAAGGTGGCCTGGACGACTTTCTCAACCCGTTGCCTCATGTCTTGGCATTCTTCCTTGCTGGCTTCTGGGTTGTCGTGAAGCCATTTAATAGTTCTGTTACACTCGCTCACCACCTTCCCGTAGTTCTCTTCCATGAACCACTTTAAGTACTCACAATAACACCGCAACACGTTCCTCGATATGTTACGTTCTCGTCGTTCATCACTGTTCTTGGTTTTGATATTTTGCCTCTGATTTGGACCTTCCTCTTCACTGATGGGGGCCTCAATCATCTTCTTGTCTGTGTCGGGGGATCCTCCACAAGCACCTTCAGATGATTCGCGAATTTTCTTGATGATTGGGCTGCATATTCGATTTAATTTGTTCATTCTGTGCTCGAATTGGACCGTCTCGCCACGTTCATTGTCATCTAACCATTTGATTGCATCGTTGCAAGCTTCCAGCATAGTGTTTCTGTCGTCATCAGAAACATTGTTCTTAAACTTTCCTTCTTCCATAAAAGACTTAATATTAAAACAACAAAATTCTAGTGCACTTTTGGCAGAAATTCGTTCCCTTTGTTTTTCATCTTCAGCCTTGTATTTCTTTGCCTCTTGCGCCATACGCTCAATATCCCCTTTGCTCAGATGATCCTTATCTTCAAGGATGGTGATACTGTACGCTTTTGCAGTACTCATGCATAGTGCAGACAAATTCAGGATACCATTGGCATCGATAGAAAAGGTGACTTCGATTTGAGGTATACGTCGAGTTGCCAATGGAATACCAGTTAACACAAAGCGCCCAAGAAGCTTGTTGGCTACAACCTTCCAACGCTCTCCCTCGTAAACACCAAAATTTATATTCAACTGGTTATCTACAAAGGTGGAGAAATTATACTTTTTCTGCATTGGAATGGGTGTGTTGCGCTTGATAAACCCACTCTTCATGCCCTTGGGTGTCTCTATACCCAGGGAGAGGGACGTAACATCTAATACAATGAAATGTTGAACAGGTGTGGACTTTCCACCACACAAAATAGCAGCCTGAACAGCTGCACCGCATGCCACTGTTTCATCAGGATTGATAGATTGATTCGGTTCCTTTCCGTCGAAAAAGTCTTTCAAACGCTTCTGGATCTTTGGGATGCGAGTAGAACCTCCCACAAGGATTATGTCGTGAATTTGGCCTTTGTCCATGTTCGCATCACTGAGAACTTTTTCAACTAAGTCAATAGAGACAAGAAACAAGTCTTCACACAACTCTTCGAATTGAGCACGAGTGATCGATGAGTGGAAGTCAACACCTTCGAATGAGTCTATTTCTACAGTGGCACTTGTAGTGGAGGACAGTGTACGCTTAGCATGTTCACAAGCAATTCGGAGGCGAACAAGTGAACGCTTGCTTTCACCAACGTCTCTCTTGTACTTGAGCTTAAACTCTCGAAGGAAATGATTCATCAAACGATTATCAAAATCTTCACCACCCAAATCAGTGTCACCAGCAGTTGACTTCACTTGAAATTCGCCATCCCCGATGGTCAAAACTGATACATCAAGAGAACCACCGCCGAGATCGAAGATGAGCACATTGCGGTCATCAATAACATTCTTGTCAAAACCATAAGCGATGGCAGCGGCGGTGGGTTCATTAATGATATGCAGCACATTGAGACCAGAGATGGTTCCAGCGTCCTTGGTAGCCTGGCGCTGAGAATTATTGAAGTACGCTGGCACAGTAATAACTGCATCCTTCACTGTAGTTCCCAAATATGCTTCCGCTGTTTCCTTCATTTTCATAAGCAGCATTGAGGAAATTTCTTCCGGACAAAATTTCTTACTTACTCCTTTGTACTCTACCTGAATCTTGGGCTTCGCGTACTCATTGATGGCATTACAAGGCCAATATTTCATCTCAGGCTGGACGTTGTAGTCATCAAACCTCCAGCCAATTAATCTTTTTACATCAAAGATTGTGTTGTTTGGATTCGACACCACCTGGTTCTTTGCCGCATCACCAATGAGGCGTTCTGTGTCTGTGAAGGCCACACAGGAAGGCATGGTTCTGTTGCCCTGGTCGTTGGCAATTATTTCAACTTTGCCATTCTGGAAGACACTCACACATGAGTACGTAGTTCCCAGATCAATACCAATTGCAATTTTTGTGGAATTTTGTTGGCTCTGAAAAAAAAGAAAAAATCTTCAGCATGTTAAGAACCATAAGGAAGAAGATTAGGCTTCAAAATTATTTAGCAAATAAAGTAAAAAGTAAAGTCGTCAGATACATGGATGTTTTTTCAATGTAAGAAATAGGAGGAGGACGTGTCTTTTTGAGACAAGATATGGAGACAGTTGGTAGGATGGATAATATTTTCACGGCTAATGGGGACAAACCCATTATTATATTTTCAGAGAGAATTGTGTTAGGAAGGGAAAATATGAGGAGATACGTGAATTCAGAGAAATCTCTAACAAATGCTGACGAAATGTGTAAATATTTAATTCAAAATTATCTACTACCTTAAATTTTAGCCAAATATCCACAGTTTGCTAACTGTAGGTAGTAAATGTGGGTGATTGTAACCTATCCACCGCTGCCCACTGGATGGGGGCGGTGTGCAGGATGAAACAATTAGATTATAAGAACATAAGAACAAAGGTAACTGCAGAAGGCCTACTGGCCCATACGAGGCAGCTCCTATCTATAACCACCCAATCCCACTCATATACATGTCCAACCCGCGCTTGAAACAATCGAGGGACCCCATCTCCACCCCGTTACGCGGAAATTGGTTCCACAAATCAACAACCCTGTTACTGAACCAGTATTTACCCGTCTTTCCTAAATCTATAAACATTCTATTTTTTTTCTTAAGTTCATACTAATTATAGGTTCACAACTAAGCTATATTAAATAATTGATTTTTAAGATTATCTTTACTTTACGATTATTATTTTTTGGTATATATTATTCTTGTCAGTCTACCGATTTTTTCTTCTCTCTTAACCTAACTACTGTATCCTTCCTGGCTATCTACGGGAATCTTTGCTCTACTTCTAACTGTTTCTATTTTTGTGTACCTACGTTTATTGTTGTGTTTTGCTACAATTACTTTCTATTCACAGCAGTTTTAGTATTTAACTGTTCCTGTAATTGCTTATCTTATTGTATCGTGACATTATTGTATCTATATGCTTACTGACATTGATCCTGATCGAAATCTTCTGTCCCATACCCACACAAATCAGCACATTGATCATTATTGCAGGTATTACACGGCAAATCTTGCAAAAAACAAACTCCTAAATAGCACCTGCTTATCAGTTTACAACCAAAATGTTAGGTCACTTGGTAAACATTTTGATGATATAAATGCACTACTCACAGCACTAGGTACTAAATTATCAAATTATCACTTGTGGTCGGTCTCGAACCCATTGTTGATGTAACAATATTAAATTTTGTTTAATAATGATTAAACAATGATTAAATGTTGTAACGATCTCATTAAGACTAACCTGCTTAGCTAAATAAATTTTGGTGTTCAGTCCCTGAGCCCATTATGTGCATCTAACCCTTATCACCATCCAGAACAGGGTGGGTATGGGGTGCACAATAAATAAGCTAAAAACTAAACTAAAGGCGTGAACAGCATCCTTGTTGTAACAATACTAAATGTGGGGGATGGGGAGCTAATATACTCACAGATAAAATTCATTAAAACGAATTTGAAAAGGTCTTGAAAGTCAGCATAAACAGCTTTATGGGGGTAAGTGAATGGGTTTTAAACTTTGAGGACTAATTCAGATGATCCAAATATTAGCAGTAAAATTTGCAAAGGGTTTATCAACTATAATTATTCCAGAACTAAGTTGACTCTTATACCAGCAACGGTTGAGGGCCACAGGGCTAACAACACTGCAAACCTGATTGAACTCATCGAAACTTTTTAAAATACTGAACAATTTGGAGGATGTTCCTCCAGATAATTTCTTCAAAAAGCGAGATGTAACACAAACAAGGACACGGGAGATCCCCATCACATAGGGTGCAGTCGCACCTCCACAGATCTCCAGTATCAACTCTTGATACTGGTAATGGCTCAAAAGGGCCACCACTTACGGGCTATTCATGCCCGTGCCACCTTTTGGGTGGCTTAATCTTCATCAATCAATCACAAACAAGGAGCTGTTATTTCAAGCTCAAAAAGCAACAATGTAGGACAAAACAGGTGCTTTTTCACCCACAGGGTTATGAACCCATGGAACCGCCTACCCACACAAGCCGTAAAGCCAAAATTTAGCTGAATTTCAAAATTCAACTTGATAAAATCACTAGGCCGCAAAATCATTAAAATCACAGCCGCCAGTTTCCTGTCCTTGTAGATAATTAGTTCTCGACGAGAACTAATTATCTACCTGAAAGGTAAATTCAGGTTGATTATTAACACGGATCTGAAACTGGTTAAAATACAATGCACAAAATGTTCGTAATAAGATCAGTGATGATAGTAGAATTGTTATACAAGTTATAATGTTAGCCTTAAAATGACTAAAGTGTTATAAACTTACAGTTAACGCCATAGTTGGTAGCTGACACCTGCGACAAACGTAATTCCTCGGGAGGACACTCACTAGGCTCTGAGAGCTGAAGACTGACTGAGCCTACCTATCAGCCTAGGGCCTTATATAGGCCGCAGGCTGCCCAGTTTCTATATACTGTTGCTTCCATACTCATAGGGATTATAAAGTCTACATAGTCTATATAAGGTCACGACCTTATATAGGCTATATGTCGCAAGTACATGACCTTATATTGCTTATTTGTTGCTAGCATATGACCTTAATTTGGTTATATGTGGCCAGTACATGATATTTACTACAGGGGTCAACATTTGACCTTGCTTGGCCCTTCAGTAGATTACTGCATGACGCAGGCGATGAGTCACAATAACGTGGCTGAAGTATGTTGACCAGACCACACACTAGAAATTGAAGGGACGACGACGTTTCGGTCCGTCCTGGACCATTCTCAAGTCGATTGTGCATGACCGCATGTACTGCATGACCTTACTCAGTTATACAGTAAATGACCTCCGACCTTACTTGTCACTGTACTCCCTAATGATATCCAATAACAGTATCTATGGTGCCAATGTTAGTGTACTCCCTAATGATGTCCAATAACAGTATCTATGGTGCCAATGTTAGTGTACTTCCTAATGATGTCCAATAACAGTATCTACGGTGCCAATGTTAGTGTACTTCCTAATGATGTCCAATAACAGTATCTACGGTGCCAATGTTAGTGTACTCCCTAATGATGTCCAATAACAGTATCTACGGTGCCAATGTCACTGGACTCTCTAATCAGGACTCTACATCCTGCCTTTAGGTCCCTAACTACTAAAGGGAATTGTCAAGAGAAAACGCCAAGCCATTACGAATATATAGCACTTGGAAGGGATCAGGATAAGGATTTGGTCTTAGCTACTGAGACATCACAATAAACATGTAGAATTTTGAATTCAGGTATTTTCTCATTATATGTTGTCTTCATGTATCCTGTCTCGAACATACTCTTTTTCTTTAGTATGGGAAAAATCTTTTGCTTTATATTCCTTTCCCGGTTGTGTAAACTGTTTCTTAGGTAATAGTTTCTTAAGATATAATGTCTTGCATTCTTGCAAGACCATATCAAGTTAAAGTACGTTTATTGAGACAATAAAATACATCTCAAAGGGATAGAGAAGCTTAGGCTATTTCTATCCTCTTCTGCTTCAAATCCCTCAAGGGGCGCACAAATCCAGTGAGTACTAATCCACAAATCATAGAACAAGAATTACATTGCATACAGGACCGTATTTTGTAACATTAAAACATAAATATATCTTATATAATATATAAGATTGACTTATTGATAAAGATTAAGCCATCGAAAAGGTGGCACGGGCATGAATAGCCCGTAAATAAACATCTCGTGTATCCTCTCTTATTATACCTTAAAATACATCATTCACTTCTTCCCGCCTTTTGAACTGAGTGGATTAATTCATTAACTCCGCCGCCTTTCATTAGTCTAGTTGCTGAGGCTAAATTTATCGCAGAAACTTTATCCCCAGTACTTGGAAACTTCAATTCCACCCTCATTATCTTAATCATGGTGTTTCTTGGGCATCCTAAGATTATTCTCATGGCTTCATTTTGTAACATTTGTAGTGTCTGAGTCTTTAGAGAATATAAACAATGTTGTTGTTTTAGATTTAGCTACTCAGAACGAAATATCCATGTAGCACGGGCTATGGTGAGCCCGTAATTGAATTCGGTTATTCGCGATAACCTTGTTACTGTGATATACATAATAAGATTGATAAAGATTAAGTCACCCAAGAGGTGGCACGGGCATGAATAGCCTAAAAAATACATAATAAGAAAGTTTTGCTGTAAATGCAGAGTGTCAGGCAGAGTGCCAGAGTTTTGGAAAGTTGCTAATGTGATACCAGTTTTTAAGAAAGGAGATAGATCACTTGCGTCTAACTATCGACCAATTAGCCTAACGTCTATTGTGGGAAAGTTACTCGAATCTATAATAGCAAATAAAATTCGTCTTCATCTTGAAAAACATAAATTAATAATTGAGTCGCAACATGGTTTTATAAATGGCCGTTCATGTTTAACAAATTTGTTATCTTTTTATTCTAGCATTGTTGAGGCAGTTGATAGTGGTAAGGATTGCGATGTTGTATACCTTGACTTTAGCAAAGCTTTTGATACAGTGCCACATGAAAGACTGATTAAAAAAATAGAGTCTCATGGTATTGGGGGTGCTATATTAAGCTGGATTAGGGCATGGCTATACCAAAGGAAACAGAGAGTTAGTATAAATGGAATCAAGTCAGAGTGGGAAAATGTTGTAAGTGGAGTGCCTCAAGGCTCTGTCCTGGGACCTCTGTTGTTTATAATATATATAAATGATTTAGATTCAGGTTTGAGTAGCAACATTTGCAAATTTGCCGATGATACGAAAATCGGTAGGGAAATTAATTCGGAGGAGGACTCACTATCACTTCAAGTTGATCTAGATAGGGTTTTGAAATGGTCAAAGGATTGGCAGATGCAGTTTAATGCTGATAAATGTAAAGTTCTGAGGTTAGGTAATGATGATAGAGTTACAAGATACGAGCTAGATGGTGTTGTGATTGCGAAGTCGGATTGCGAAAGGGATCTGGGAGTTATGATTAGTAAGAATTTAAAACAAAAGGATCAATGCATAAATGTTCGTAATAAGGCAAATCGGACACTTGGATTTATTAATCGCAGCGTTAGTAACAAGACACCTGGTGTGGTTCTCAAGCTATATCTTGCTCTAGTTAGGCCCCATTTAGATTATGCAGTTCAGTTTTGGTCGCCATATTATAGAATGGATATAAATTCACTTGAACGTGTCCAGCGTAGGATGACTAAGTTAATTCCCCAAATTAGAAATCTTTCATATGAAGAAAGATTAACAAAGCTTAAGTTGCATTCACTGGAAAGGCGAAGAGTTAGGGGTGACATGATAGAGGTTTACAAGTGGATGAATGGACATAACCGGGGGGATATTAATAGGGTATTAAAAGTATCAACACAGGACAGAACACGAAACAATGGATATAAATTGGATAAGTTTAGATTTAGGAAAGACTTGGGTAAATACTGGTTCAGTAATAGGGTTGTTGATTTGTGGAACCAATTGCCGCGTAACATTGTGGAGGTGGGGTCCCTCGATTGTTTCAAGCACGGGTTGGACAAGTATATGAGTGGGATTGGGTGGTTATAGAATAGGAGCTGCCTCGTATGGGCCAATAGGCCTTCTGCAGTTACCTTTGTTCTTATGTTCTTATGTTCTTAAATACACATGTGGAAGGAGTGAAGTGAAGGGTCGAGGGAATATGGGGCACTCAATCACAGGGGTAAAGAATTGCGGAACTAAGGTAGGAATAAGGGGAAAGGGCCAATCAAACATTGGATAAGGCGTTGCGTCAAACTCTTAAATTTCATTAATCTATACATCTCTGATAACTTCTTTGATTTAAGATACTTCCTTCTTTTCTGAAGATACGCTTGTGGTAGGGGATTTTAATGCCAGACATCCAGCTTTTGTCTTGAAGCTCTCTTGAAGTAAAGGACGGTAGAAATTGCCTAAGCTACTCCATCCCTTTGAGATGTATTTTATTGTCTCAATAAACGTACTTGAACTTAATTTAGGGATTAAGGGGTAAAGCAAACAATAATGCTTGCAGATGGTGCCACATTTGGAAAGAAATGGATATACCCATAAGAGTTTAGAAGCTGAGATGAACTGACTGTTGGGTCAATTTCGGAAGAGATTACAACCTCTGAAGTTCAAGTAAGTTTATTGAGAAAATAAAGTAAGTCTCAAAAGGATAGAGTAACTTAGGCTATGTCTACCCTCGTCTATATAAGATCCCTTAAGGGGCTCACAAACCCATACAGTACACAATTATTAATCATATTCTATATTTAACATTCCAATGGTAAACACATGGCATACTGTGAGATCTCTTATTGATTATGCTGCCCCTCTCATGTCTTGTTTTGGTAAAGGCTGACTTAACAAGTTGGAGAAGGTACAAAATGAAGCTATGAGAATAATCCCAAGATTATTCTCATGACCCAAGAAATACTATTACTGAGATAATGTTGACCAGACCACACACTAGAAGTTGAAGGGACGACGACGTTTCGGTCCGTCCTGGACCATTCTCAAGGTCTGGTCAACATACTTCAGCCACGTTATTGTGACTCATCGCCTGCTTACTGAGATAATGATTATATTGAACTTACAGAGTATTGGGGATAGAATTTCAGAGATAAATGAAGCTTCGGCTATCAGACTAATGAGAGGCGAGGGAGCTGATGAATTAATCCTCTCACTTCAAAAGGCGGAAAGAAATGAATAATGCACGTGAAAACATAATAAGATTACACACACAAATCACAATAGCATGATACATCATTTCTTCAGTTAACTTGATTCTTATGAACAAATCTTTATATATTATGATTCTTATATTCTTATGTTCAATGAACACAGTTTAGACAGGTTACTGAGCAATAGGCTTGGTAAAAAATGACTTTATTAGTGATGCAACACACATGTATAAACTTAAAAACTTATAAACTTAAATTACAGATATAAACCCTACTAAAAGATATAATTCGGGAAATTGCAGCATCTTTTAATACAAAAATCCTAATAGAAATAACCACGGAACATTTATTAACAGCAAGTGTCAAACATAAATGTATTCTTATGGAAACATTCACTTGAAAATTAATAAGTAATTGTAACAATCAAACTAACAAAACATACATAGACCAACGGTCCTCCCTCTGCCTTAATGTGACACTCAGGGCTGTGTTGGAGGCCTATGCACTCTGCCTTAAACTGTATATGGTTTAAATACCGATTTATCTAGTGAACTTGTTCTCCTGGATACTTAATGTAGTCAATAAAGTATTTTCATTGTGGCCCCACCTTCAGTAACACTTTAAATAACACAGTGTACATGGGTTGAGTGTGGCAAACATTAGGCAGAAGGCGAGAGGACCCCTGACAAGTTTGAGGGTTAAATTTCTTCATCCATGACACTACATGAACGGCCATCCAGAACATTCGGGTTTACTGTTTTGTTATCACAAATGTGACCATTACATAATTTCGATAACTGATATTCAAATGACTTCAATTCAAAATTCAATTGAAACAAAATTCCCAGGGGACAATGGGGGACCTTTGACAAGCTGCTCTCTTTATGTCTCCATCACAATCATGGTGGCCCTCAATTCAGAAAAAAATATATTGTAGTTCTCAGTATCCATCGTCTACCTCGCTCCCTACTCTATATTGAGCTCCAAATCTGTTCTATTTCTTGTTTTTTGTGATCGAATTCTTCCTTCTCGGCAAGTTGATTTTCGTCCAGCCACTTTATTGTTTTATTGCAAGCGTCCACGACTTTGTTAAGGACCTCCTCAGAAACTTTGTTCTTGATGTCCGGTTGTTTCACAGTTGACTTGATATTATAACAGTAGTTCTCGAGGGAGTTCTTGGCAGAAATACGATCCCTTTGCTTCTGATCTTCAACCTTGAACTTTTCTGCTTCTTGAACCATGTGTTCAATTTCCTCCTTGGTTAGGCAACCCTTATCATTGGTAATAGTGAGCGTGTCCAACTTGCCAGTGGTCGTCTGCACAATACACACGTTCAGGATGCTGTTGGCATCAATATCAAAGGTAACATCAAAATTTTGTTCTCCTCGAGGTGCTGGAGGGACGCCAGTTATTGTAGTCTCCCCTAGAAGTTGGTTATCGTTTGTCATTGCTCGCTCCCCCTGGTAAACTTTTATGGGGATTTCTGTCTGATTATCTACACTAGTGATGAAAGTCTCTGTCTGCTTTGTTGGGATGGTTGTGTTGCGATGAATTATAACTGAAAATACTCCTCCAATTGTCTCTATACCCAGAGAGAGGGGAGTTACGTCATGTAGGATCAAACTGTTCACAGCTTCAGACATGTCACCACACAGATTATCAGCCAGAACAGCTGCACCATACGCTACAGCTTCATCAGGATGGATAGACTTGTTCAGTTCCTTTCCATTGAAGAACTCTTGCAAAAGCTTTTGGATCTTTGGGATGCGAGTAGAACCTCCCACAAGAACTATATCATCAATTTGGGCTTTGTCCATTTTTGCATCATGAAGAGCTTTTTCAACTATCTCTAAAGTAAGAAGAAACAAGTCCGCACACAACTCTTCGAAACGAGCACGAGTAATTGATGAATAGAAGTCCATTCCATCAAAGAAAGAGTCTATTGCTATACTGGCCTGAACTGAAGAGGATAAAGCATGCTTTGCACGGTCACAGGCAAATCTGAGACGGACAAGGGCACGTTTGTTTTCAGTTGGATCTTTCTTGTACTTGCGCTTGAACTCTTGAATGAAGTGGTTTACCATACGGTTGTCAAAGTCTTCACCACCCAAATGAGTGTCACCAGCAGTCGACTTTACTTCGAAGATGCCATCCTCGATGGTCAAGATGGACACATCAAAAGTACCACCGCCAAGATCGAAAATGAGTACATTGCGCTCACCACCAACTTTCTTGTCGAGACCATAAGCGATGGCAGCGGCGGTGGGTTCATTAATGATACGCAGCACATTGAGACCAGAGATGGTTCCAGCGTCCTTGGTAGCCTGGCGCTGAGAATCATTGAAGTACGCTGGCACGGTTACAACTGCATCCTTCACTGTAGTTCCCAAGTATGCTTCAGCAGTTTCCTTCATTTTGATTAGCACCATTGAGGAAATTTCTTCTGGGTAGAAAGTCTTAACGTCCCCTTTGTAATTTACTTGAATCTTTGGCTTTGTGTTATCATTGATGACGTCGAATGGCCAATGTTTCATATCATCCTGGACATTGTGGTCATCAAACTTCCTACCAATTAGTCTCTTTGCATCAAAAACTGTGTTGTCTGGATTCATAGCCAATTGAATCTTTGCCGCATCACCAATGAGGCGTTCTGTGTCGGTGAATGCCACATAGGAAGGCGTGGTTCTGTTGCCCTGGTCGTTGGCGATGATTTCAATCTTTCCATGCTGGAACACACTCACGCATGAGTACGTAGTTCCCAGATCAATACCAACTGCAATTCTCTTGGCCATTTTCGTATTCTGAAACAAAAAATACAGCATGAACATTTTGAAGTATTTCATTTACATTTATTGTGTAGCCGTCCAATACTTTTATGTGGTGCAGCACATAGGGAAATCAGAGGTCTTGATCTGAAATATATTCGATCACATCTTAAGGGTGGGGAAGGACAGGGCTGGGGAACCATCACCAGTGTCATAACAGACTGCGGTCTGTGAGGCCGCAGTGTCTTCCGGGCAACACCGTGCAGACAAGACATCCAATAAACCAGTAGCCTGGGGGGCCGCAGTTTCACCCAGGCTTCACCGGGCAGACAAAACGTCTGGATAAACCCGCGGCCTGGAAGGCCGGGTTTAATAGAATTCTATGACCAGGCAACAAAAATTAGGCAGGAAAGAGAAGGGTGGGCCGACTGCATTTTTCTGGACTGCCAGAAAGCCTTTGACACAGTACCCCATAAAAGGCTGTTAAAAAAATTACATGAGAACATAAGTAGTGAAGGATTTGGTGAGTGTGGTTGGAGCTCTGAGAGCAGAGATGGATTCCCTGCAGGAGGAGGTACGACGGCTGAGACTTCGGGAGGAAACGAAGTAGGAGACCAGTGTTGACGGGAATTCATCGTGGAGAGTCGTTAAGGACAGGGGTCTTAAGAAGACCTTGACAAGGCCGCCTACAGACGCCCTAAGGACAGCAAATTCATTTGCCGTGTTGGAGGACGAGTGCTGTGGTGAGCCTGCAGTTCACTCGGAACGGAAATCAGCGAGGAGCGGCGGAGCGCAGGCCCCTCAGGCTGCTCAGAAAGTTAAGGAGGTACCGAAGTGAATTTTGGTTGTGGGAGATTCCCAAGTGAGGTATTTAGACAGAACGTTTTGTGCCAGAGATAGGGGGAACAGATTAAGGGTTTGCTATCCGGGAGCTGGAATTGGTGATATTGTTGGAAACATGAATGATATTATGACGGGAAATGGGAACAAACCCATTATTTGTATTAGTGCAGAGGGTAATGATGTTGGACGAGTTAGGAGTGAGGAACTAATACAGAGATTCAGGACAGCCATTGAATTAGTTAGGAGCAAGGGAGGAATTCCAATCATATGTGGCATTCTTCCAAGAAAGGGAGTGGGTAATAAATGGATGTCGAGGGCACTTGGTGTCAATTGCCGGCTGGAAAGATATTGCAAATCAAATGCAATATCTTTCATAGACAACTGGGAACACTTCTATGGAAGAAATGAAATGTATGCTCGTGATGGGGTGCATCTATCGAGGGCTGGGGTTGTTGCTGTTGCGAACTCGTTGGAACCAGTGGTTAGAGGTGTTTGTTTGGGTTTAAACTGTTAGTAGATAGTGGTATGGGAATTGATTTGGAGGAAGGAGGTAATAAAACTATGTGTTCGTGGGAGAAAAGAATTGGCAAAATGATCAGGGAAAGAAAAGGGCCTCAAAATAACAATTCACTTAGGGTATATTACACTAACAGTAGAAGTCTAAGAAATAAAATTAACGAATTAAATGCTCTTGTCTGCACAGAAAAAATAGATATTATTGCACTTACCGAAACGTGGATGAATGTAGAAAATAGAGAACTATTAGCTGAGTATCAAATAAATGGATTTAAACTATTTCACACAGATAGGTATATTAGACGAAGAGGGGGAGTAGCCATATATGTTAGGGACAATTTGAAATGTAGTCTCAAAGAGGGAATCAAAACTGAGCCACACACATAAACTATTTGGATAGAATTAAACGAAAAAGCAAATAATATTATAATAAGAGTTATATATAGGCCACCAAAATTAGACAGAATGGAAGCAAAGCATCTATGGGATGAAATATCTAGAGCATCTAGATCTAACAGTATTTATGTCATAGGTGACTTTAACTTTAGTGGAATAAACTGGTTGAACAAAACAGGGAATAATGAAGCAGAAGATTTTCTAGAATTAATTGACGATTGCTTTCTTACGCAACATTAAGGAACCAACGCGGGAAAATAATATTTTAGATTTAGTGTTAACTAACAGGGAAACACAAATTAATGACATAGAAATAGGGAGTGAGCTAGGGAACAGTGATCACAAAGAAATCAGATTTAGCATAGAATGGAATAGACCTGTAGGAGAAAATTCTGTTAAAGTGCCAGATTTTCGAAAAGCTGATTTTAATAGCCTAAGAAATTTTTTGGGTCAAATAGATTGGAAAGTCTTGGGTATGGGGTGTGGGCCGGTCTTGGAGTGAGACATGAACCCAGCGACAGGTGACGTAAAAGAGGATTTCGATGTGGATTTAATACCTGGTTACCTGGTTGATACCTGGTTGATGGGGTTCTGGGAGTTCTTCTACTCCCCAAGCCCGGCCCGAGGCCAGGCTCGACTTGTGAGAGTTTGGTCCACAAGGCTGTTGCTTGGAGCGGCCCGCAGGCCCACATACCCACCACAGCCTGGTTGGTCCGGCACTCCTTGGAGGAATAAATCTAGTTTCCTCTTGAAAACGTCCACGGTTGTTCCGGCAATATTTCTTATGCTTGCTGGGAGGACGTTGAACAACCGCGGACCTCTGATGTTTATACAGTGTTCTCTGATTGTGCCTATGGCACCTCTGCTCTTCATTGGTTCTATTCTACATTTTCTTCCATGTCGTTCACTCCAGTACGTTGTTATTTTACTGTGTAGATTTGGTACTTGGCCCTCCAGTATCTTCCAGATGTATATTATTTGATATATCTCTCGTCTTCTTTCTAGTGAGTACATTTGGAGGGCTTTGAGACGATCCCAATAATTTAGGTGCTTTATTGCATCTATGCGTGCCGTATATGTTCTCTGTATTCCCTCTATTTCAGCAATCTCTCCTGCTCTGAAGGGGGAAGTGAATACTGAGCAGTACTCAAGACGGGACAACACAAGTGACTTGAAGAGTACAACCATTGTGATGGGATCCCTGGATTTGAAAGTTCTCGTAATCCATCCTATCATTTTTCTGGCTGTCGCAATATTTGCTTGGTTATGCTCCTTAAACGTTAGGTCGTCAGACATTATTATTCCCAAATCCTTTACATGCTGTTTTCCTACTATGGGTACATTTGATTGTGTTTTGTACTCTGTATTATGTTTAAGGTCCTCATTTTTACCGTACCTGAGTACCTGGAATTTATCACTGTTAAACATCATGTTATTTTCTGATGCCCAGTCGAAAACTTTATTAATATCAGCTTGAAGTTTTTCAATGTCCTCAGCCAAGGTAATTTTCATACTGATTTTTGTGTCATCTGCAAAGGATGATACGAAGCTGTGACTTGTATTTTTGTCTATATCTGATATGAGAATAAGGAAAAGCAGAGGTGCAAGGACTGTACCCTGAGGTACAGAGCTTTTCACTGCACTTGGACTAGATTTTATATGGTTGACAGTTACTCGCTGAGTCCTGTTTGACAGAAAACTGAGTATCCAGCGTCCTACTTTACCGGTTATTCCCATTGACTTCATTTTGTGTGCTATCACGCCATGGTCACATTTATCGAAAGCCTTTGCGAAGTCCGTGTATATCACATCAGCATTCTGTTTCTCTTCTAATGCCTCAGTGACTTTGTCGTAGTGCTCAAGTAGCTGTGAGAGGCACGATCTTCCCGCTCGAAATCCATGTTGGCCTGGGTTGTGAAGGTCATTGGTCTCCATGAAATTGGTGACCTGACTCCTAATCACTCTCTCAAATACTTTTATGATGTGCGATGTTAGTGCAACTGGTCTATAATTTTTTGCCAATGCTTTGCTCCCTCCCTTGTGTAGAGGGGCTATGTCTGCTACTTTAAGTGCATCTGGTATCTCCCCCGTGTCCAAGCTCTTCCTCCACACTATACTGAGTGCCTGTGCTACCGGCACTTTGCATTTCTTTATAAATATTGAATTCCATGAGTGGACCTGGGGCCGAGTGCATGGGCATGTTTTCAATTTCTTTTTCAAAATTTAGTGCGCTCGTGTTTATATCAGTTATATTTACAGGGGTTTGAATATCCCGCATAAAGAAATTGTCTGGATCTTCCACCTTCATGTTGTTTATTGGAGTGCTAAACATGTCCTCATACTGCTTTTTTAGGATTTCACTAAATTCTTTGTCATCCTCCGTGTATGAACCTTCACTTGTACGAATAGGTCCAATACTGGCAGTGTTTTTTGCTTTTGATTTCGCATATGAGAAGAAATATTTTGGATTTTTCTTTATTTCCTGAATTGCTTTCTGTTCTAACTGCCTTTCTTCAGTTTCATATGAGTGTTTCAATTTCCGCTCGATTTCTTCGAGCGAGTTAATATATAACTTATTTAAGAATATTCTAAACAAAGCACAAGAACGTAGTATACCATACAAATTGAATAGATCGAATACTAATGACCCAAAGTGCATAACAAATAATTTAAAGAACCTTATAGGTAAAAAAGATAGCTTGGTACAAAGGGAAAGGAATGGTGGCCAACCACTTGGATGGTCGGGGATTGAACGCCGACCTGCATGAAGCGAGACCGTCGCTCTACCGTCCAGCCCAAGTGGCTGTTGCACAAGTGGGAGCTGCAGTCACAAAAACGAACCAAACCCCTAGGAATAGTCAAACGGACCCTTTAACTTGAAGGGAAAATATGGTAGTTACAATATTTGGAGAAAGCTCAACACCGGGCGACAAAAATCATCTACTACTGTATTCACTGGAGGAGCCACACGTACTCACTGGAGGAACCACTCTAACTCACTGGAGGAGCCACACGTACTCACTGGAGGAACCACTCTAACTCACTGGAGGAGCCACACGTACTCACTGGAGGAACCACTCTAACTCACTGGAGGAGCCACACGTACTCACTGGAGGAACCACTCTAACTCACTGGAGGAGCCACACGTACTCACTGGAGGAGCCACACGTACTCACTGGAGGAGCCACACGTACTCACTGGAGGAGCCACACGTACTGCAGTTTAATGCTGATAAATGTGAGGCTAGGTAATGATGATAAAGTTACAAGATACGAGCTAGATAGTGTTGAGATTGCGAAGGGAATTTGGGTGTTATGATTAGTAAGAATTTAAAACCAAAGAATCAATGCATGAATGTTCAAAATAAGGCAAATAGGACACTGGGATTTATTAATCGAAGCGTTAGAAACAAGACACCTGGTGTTGTTACTTGGATGTCAGTGAATAGTGGAAGTCGACCGTGTTCTCACCCCCACCTGTTGTTTGTTGTTGTTTAACATTCGCTACTCAGAACAATAAGTTCCAGTAGCACGGGCTATGGTGAGCCCGTAAGTGGAGGCTCTTTGGAGCCATTATCTGTATCAGTGGCTGATACTAGAGATCTGGCGATGGATGGGGGTCTTCATGATGGTTTTCAGTCTGGAGGGCTGGCTATACCAGTTATGGAGCTGGTGGGGTTAGTGTAGACCTCTAGGTTTTCCGTTTTTTCTTTGCCTGCGACTTTGGCTGAGCAGTGCTGTCGTTGGAGTTTGGTGACGTGGCCTCCATGAGGAAGTCTTGAACCGTGTAGGTGTCGTACTTGTGATGCGGCGGTGGAGCTCCTACTATGATTTCCTCGTCTGAGGAGTCCGTAACCTCCGTAGTGGGCGTTTTTGTCTTTCGCCTCGCAGCCTTAAGTAGGCTTAGGTGACGTTGATTAGTGGTTGTACCTATTTCAGGAGCGCTGGTGGTGCTGTTATCGTTTGTAGACAGTACGTCTGCTAGCGCGGCTGCTGAGATAGTGATGGTAGGAGTGTTGGGAGCTGGAGAGGGAATTACCTCTGTTTGTGTCGCCCGGGTCATGAGTGGTTCTGGAGTTTGTGTTGAAGTTGACCGCATGGTCGTCCTGGTGGTAGTCCCCGGAGTGGTAGAGGAGGCAGTGAGATTTACGCTAGTGGCTATGATGGGGGCCAGGCCATTGTCTATGTATAATGCGTTTAGTTCACTGACATAGCGCTGGTTGTCTGGTTCTGTTAGCTTTTCCGCAAGTCTAATAAGACCAGGGATAATGCCAGCACGTAATGCAGGGGGTTGTGAAGGAGCCTGTGGGACCTTGGGCCCCCAATGAGAAGGCTGTGTCGCCTGCTGGGAGGAGCCACATGTTGGTAAGACTGGAAAGTCTTCTGGTCGATTAGTGAGAGCTAAGGTGGTGGGTTGAACGCTTGGGGCTCTGGTCGAGGAGGTAGTTAATTAGGGGGTACTTAGCTTTTATCTTAAACTGGTTGTGAGAGGTACAGTCTTTAACATAATTGGGAAGGTCATTCCACATTCGAGGTCCCTTGATTTGTAAAGCATTTCTAGTTTGACTAAGTCGTACTCTTGGAATATCAAATAGTATTTGTTTCTGGTGTGGTGCTCATTATGGGATCTGTTACAAGCTTCTAGGAAGCTTTTAAGGTCAGTATATAAAATACACATGAGAGGATGTGCAGTGACTTAATATCTATCATATTCAGAGATTTGAGTAAGGGTACCGAGTGATGTCTGGGGCCAGAGTTAGATATTGTCCTAATAGCAGCTTTGTGTTGAGTAATTAGAGGACGTAAATGATTTTGGGTAGTAGAACCCCAAGCACAAATACCATAGATGAGAGAGTAATAGAGTATCACCAGGGCAGGGCGAGGTACATAATATCTGATCTTAGAAAGAATGCCAACAGTTTTTTAAACTTTTTTTGATATGTTTAGAATGTGTCCCTGGAAATTCAGCTTGAGGTCAATGAAAACGCCAAGGAATTTGCCATCTACTTTGTTACAAATTTGGGTATTGTTAATCCTGAGATTTATTTGATTTGAGGATTTATTGCCAAACAAAATATAGAAAGTTTTGTCAATATTGAGGGTGAGTTTGTTGGCAGTTAGCCAGTGATGGACTTTGCATCATCTTGCATCTCTTGCTCTATATCCTACATTGTGGCTTGTTGAGCTTGAACCCATTGCTCCTTGTTTGTGTTACATTTGATCTTTTGAAGATATTGTTGGGATCAGCATCCTCCAACTTGTTCAATATTTTAAGTTTCAATGAGATCCGGCCTGTCATGCCTGGTTTGCAGTGTTGTTAGGCCTGTGGCCCTCAACCGTTCCTGATACGAGAGATCCCGGAATGACTTCTGTTGCACTTTCTCCAGAGCAGCTATGTCCTTCTGAGAAGGGGGTCTCTATGCTTGGATATATAAATCCAAATGGGGCGCACCAGAGATTTATACAGTTGAATCACTACCTTCTTTTCATTAAAAAGTCAAAGATACGCTTGATTATTCCAAGGGTTGTGCAGCTGTTAGTGAGTGGTGGATTTTGACTCCAAGGTTCTTTTCTTCAATTTGCTGTAATGTGATGCTATTAATTTGGTAGTTGTGGCGTAGGTTGCTATGTCCCCACATTTGTCGATATTAAAAAGCATTTGCCAGTCTTTTGACCATTTGTGGAATTCATGTAGATTTTTTTTTAAGTCTACAATATCATTATCATTTCCCACCTTACCACAAATCTTTGTATCATCTGGAAATTTGATGATGTGACTTGTAATATTCTCATCTATGTCATTATTGTATATGACAAAAAGGGTTGGCCCGAAAATGGACCCTTGAGGTACCCCACATACCATATTTCTCCATTCAGATTCGACGTTCCCATTTAGCACGACTTTATTTTCTGTTTCAACCATTCTAGTATAATATAATCCATCGCCCATTGTCAGGACAACTGCATGCACTTCCAGCTGCACCTAGATTTTAAAGTTCAAACGTTTTGGCATGTATGGCTTCAGCGGGTAGGCTGTTCCATGGGCTTATTACAAAAAAAAATGTGAAGCTGAAAAAGCATCGACAATTATGGCGACAAATAAGGAGAGGTGGACGACATTTAGGGCGACAAATAAGAAGTCGGGGACGACAGTTATGGTGACAAATAAGGACGACATTTAGGGCGACAAACAAGGGAAGACGACATTTAGGGCAAGAAATATGAAGAGGGGGCGATATTTAGGTCAACAGAGTGGGGGGGGGGGCAATATTTAGGGCAAAAAATAAAGAAAAGGAGAGGACGACATTTAGGACAACAAATAAGGAGAGGGTCAAGGGACGACGTTTAGGAGGACAAATAAGGAGAATGGGTGAGGAGGGGCAATAGTTAAGGCGTCAAATAAGGAAGGGGAGAGAACGACATTTAGGGCGACAAATAAGGACAGGGGGAAGGGACGACAAACAAGGAGTGGGTTAGTGACCATTTAGAGGCGACAAACAAGGAGAGGGGAGGACATAGAGAGGAAGACAGAGGGGAAGATAGACCTATAAGGCGAGGAGCGAGGGGCGCTCCCCAGTGATGTAACAGTGTAGGGAGTGAGTGTGCGCGTGCGCCGCGCCACCAGCCACAACGTGTGTAAACAAAAGCCACCACAGGAGGGACAAGTGTCACTCACAACTGCTATTTTGTCTGCTGTGTGCGCCCCTCGCCGCCCCGACTGACTGCCATGCATGCCATTGAGGGCTCCGGGAACGTGCCAGCGTTCCTGACCAAGCTGTGGAGGCTTGTGGACGACGTGAAGACCAATGACCTGATCAGTTGGACGCAGGTGAGTGCTCACCTCCCACACCTGTCTCGCTCACTCCACATATACTTCCTAACTTTTGACAACTTATTCTCATTTGTTTAATAAACTAATTAGTGTCTGAGGCTCTTGATACATACTTTTGTTGAGGTCAATGAGGCGTTGTATGGACAGCTGTGATAACTTATTAAATGTCAAGTTTGTGTCGCAAACTGATGAAATAAACTAGGTTTTTTTTCTGTATTGTATTTTGTCTTTGTTACAAAATTTATATTAACAAACTTTAATGTAAATTTTAATTTGAGTCAATTTAGGAATCACTTATTGGTAGTTTGGGAAGAACAACATTATTTGGTCACCTAGACTTGGTATCTCTCATTGCTTTGATCTCATGTAAGCTAACTTGACTTACTCTTGCCTAGCCTAACATAAACTAAGTTAACATCAGATAACTTTCCTAGAAACGACGTTTACTAAAAAAAAATGAAAAAAAAGAAAAAAAAAGACGAAACATGATGAGAGTGACTCGGTACTTGCGGCAGCTCGGCACCTCCTATACAGTATTTGTTTAATTTTTCTGTTTATATTATTAGGTTAATACTAGTTATGTTAGGCAAAGTTAATGTATATTAGCTTAGGTTTAATTTCATCATCAAGCAAAATTTCACAATTTTTGGTTTCGATTCAGTTTTAGGAGCAAGTACAAAAATCTCAAGTGAAGTGAAGCGAAGCAAAAATCATTTTAAATAATTTCTGTGGTAAGTAGGCTATTATAGTGGCCACGATTCATTTGGCTGGCAACGTTCTCATATATGAGAATATCATATACTGTATGAACTTTGAAAGGGGCTGCATTTTATATATATGTGCACTTAGTAGACAATAATAATTGATGCCTTGGTTTGATTAAATGCACATTGTAAGTTCGGGTTTGGACTAGTTTGCTTAGGTTTGGACTAGCTTGGTTAGGTTAGGAATAGCTAGGTTAGGAATAGCTAGGTTAGGAATAGCTAGGTTAGGAATAGTTAGGTTAGGGATAGCTAGGTTAGAGATAGCTAGGCTAGGGATAGCTAGGTTAGGGATAGTTAGGTTAGGGATAGCTAGGCTAGGAACAGTTAGGTTAGGGATAGCTAGGCTAGGAATAGTTAGGTTAGGGATAGTTAGGTTAGGGATAGTTAGGTTAGGGATAGTTAGGCTAGGCATAGCTAGGCTAGGAATAGTTAGGTTAGGGATAGCTAGGCTAGGAGTAGTTAGGTTAGGGATAGCTAGGCTAGGAATAGCTAGGCTAGGAATAGCTAGGTTAGGAATAGTTAGGTTAGGAATAGCTAGGTTAGGGATAGCTAGGTTAGGGATAGCTAGGTTAGGGATAGCTAGGCTGGAATAGTTAGGCTAGGGATAACTAGGTTAGGAATAGTTAGGTTAGGAATAGTTAGGTTAGGAATAGTTAGGTTAGGAATAGTTAGGTTAGGGATAGCTAGGTTAGGGATAGCTAGGTTAGGGATAGCTAGGTTAGGGATAGCTAGGTTAGGGATAGCTAGGTTAGGGATAGCTAGGTTAGGGATAGCTAGGTTAGGAATAGTTAGGTTTGGGATAGCTAGGTTTGGGATAGCTAGGTTAGGGATAGCTAGGTTAGGGATAGCTAGGTTAGGGATAGCTAGGTTAGGGATAGCTAGGTTAGGGATAGCTAGGTTAGGAATAGCTAGTCACTGGCTGGTGACTGTGTATGCTCACTAGGGGATGTTTCAAGTTTGAATGAATAATTTAACTTTGAGCAATTCTTTTGTGGTGTCTATACACTGTTTTATTGCTTTTTTTCATGAACCTTGTAGTGTACATAACAAAATTCTGCATTGCACTCTACTGTATAAATAAATATATATATATATATATATATATATATATATATATATATATATATATATATATATATATATATATATATATATATATATATATATATATATATATACTGTATATATATATACAGGTACTGTACTGTTAAATGTTTTCAGAATGGCCGGAGCTTCATCATCCAGAACCAAGCTAAATTTGCACGAGAGCTGTTGCCACAATATTATAAACATAACAACATGGCAAGTTTTGTTAGGCAACTTAATATGTGTAAGTATTAACTTAGTTTTGTTTATTATATATTTATTATAATCTTGTTAGGTAAGAGGAGAGAGTGAGGCAGTATGTAGCTGGGGACAGTGTGAGTACAGAGGAGTGTATTGTATACAGGCATGTATAATTAGTTCACTGTGTTGAGGCTTATATCGAGGAGCTATATTATCCTTCAATGAGACGTACAGTATTCACATTAGATTCCTTGCGTTAAACAAAATGAAAAAAAATTATTTAGATTTATCTTCATATAAATATTGTACATTAACAGGCTGATTAAATATTGTACAGGTTCCATTATATGTACAGTATTTCAATACTAGTACTGCTCCTAAAATAATTGTCCCCCCTTTTAGATGGCTTCCACAAGGTGGTGTCGGCAGATTCCGGAGGATTACGGGTAGAAAGAGATGAGATGGAATTTGCCCACCAACATTTCCTTCGTGGCCAGGAATCCCTTATAGAGAACATAAAGAGGAAGGTATTGACAGACTTTAAAAGATGTGAATCCCAACTCATTTGCATACTTTACTTTTGGTGATATAAATTTAAATGTAAATTTTTTTTATTGATAGAATTTTTGCCAATTCATATGACACCAAAAAATCCTTATTTATCCAGTATCTCATGGTAGACATATAAGTAGGTATAATGTGAATGGTTGTATGATCAATTCAGATTGTTAACTAGCATGGGATACATGATGAACGAATCCCATTTTGAGTATTCTGTACTGTACTGTGTACTCCCACTCGAACAGAACTTATTCCTTCACGTTATAGTTGGACAGGAAGCTTTTTCTACCATTGGAAAATGTGGGCTACATTGGATGCACTGGAAATTTTGTGGTGAAAACTCCAGATATCTTTTGGACCTCTCTTGTTCTTCCAAGGGTAATACACTCGGTGGTAACAGCCACCAGCGGGGTAGAAATAGCCTAAGCTACTCTATCCCTTTGAGATGTATTTCTTTCTTATCTCAATAAACATACTTGAACTTGAATCCACCGAGTGTGTTACCATTTTTCACTACTGTAGAAATTTTTTTGTCCATAAACGATAGAATATATATACATATGTGCACAATGCTTTTTAAATATATATGAAGGTAAAGATAGAAGAAGAAACTATAAAAATTTTACGAAAAGCAATAAAATATTTGTTTAACTTTGAGAAAGGTTAGGGATTAAGGAAAGAGAGAAAGGAAAGAGATTAAGTACCATGTTAATCTCTTAAGCAGGAATTTGGATAAACATAACAGTACAAAGTTGGCACGCTATGCTGCTACATAAATCATTTATAAGTAGTCTCATTTAATTTCTTATGCTTAGATTTCTTGAGCATTTTTTACTTTGAAGCACTTCCAATAATTCTCTCCCACTTAGCATTCCTCATGCTTGTTTACCTTTCAAGCTATTCAGCCTTTTTTTTTTCTGGGAGTGCTTTCTCAGTATCTCCCATAGCTATCCACTTGGATTCCCCCAAACCTACTTGGATAATATTTGTAATCCTGAGTCAAACTATGTACACACTTGCTCTTTAAGTCCATTTGCTAATTAGCTCCACTCCCTTGCAACAAGATGGCAGTCCTGGCAACCCATGGGTCTCTGGCAGCCATCCAGTCATTTATGCACCCACTGCAGTTCCCTCTAGGTTCCTTGCTGCTCTGCTTGTACTGAAAACTCGGTTAAGTGTTGGCCATTCTTTGGACTGTGTCCAGTGCAGGGGCCTGTGCCTGCATTTGTTTCCTTGCAGCTTCACAGGCATATTTTTTTATGGCATTCTGTTGCATGTGCCTTGATCACTTGTTCACCTTGGCTGCTGCTGGCATTGTTCCTGCCTTCAATCAGTGTTCTCTTCCCTGAGTGGGTTTGGGTGTATGCTACTTGTTAATATAGTACAACCTCAACTCAGTGAACTATATGGGAACTATATAAAACATATTTGAACTTAATGAATTCATTGCAGTGAGATTTGTTGCAATAGGAGATGCCTCAAAGATATATTTCTATGCTCTGTTGACAAATTTCACTTGACAAAATTTTTGTTTCAACCTATAATACAATGGACAACCACAAAATAATCATGTTTGCAAACAAATTTAACTACATCTAGCTATTTCTCATGTCCTCAGCCTTAAAAGTAATTTTCAAAAGGTAGCAGAACCATACCTGAGTGAATGATGAAAACCTTCCCAACTCAAATTAAAAACAAACCATAGAAATTGGTTTTAAATAATTTCAATAACTTTCCCAAGGCTCTAACTGTTTCTTGTAATATTGAGTCCATCTACAAAAATCATCAGCAATGTGATTGGAGCCATATCAAGAGTTATCATTCATTCCCTAATATTTCTCTATGGGCTGATTTCACTGGGCAAAATTTTAATTTCAACCTGTCATATGAAGGACAACTACAGTACACAGAGAACTTCTCTTTAAAGAGATTTAACTACATCTAGCATATTTCCCATGCCCTAGCCTTGAAAGTTTATTTTAATGAGGAAAACGAACCCATACTTGTGAACAAAAACTGGGGAATTTCAAAATTAAAATGTAACCTAGAATTTGGTTGACCAGACCACACACTAGAAAGTGAAGGGATGACAATGTTTTGGTCCGTCAATCGACGTTTCGGTCCACACAATCGACTTGAGAATGGTCCAGGACGAACCGAAACGTCGTTGTCCCTTCACTTTCTAGTGTGTGATCTGGTCAACATATTTCAGCCACGTTATTGTGACTCATCTCCTGCACTAGAATTTGGTTTTTAATAAGCTCAATGGCTTCTCCAAGGCCCCCAACTATTTCTTGTAATGTTGCTTTCAACTCTGAACTTGGTCTCAACATCTTAAGCAAATCCACATTTTTTTTTTAATTGTTTTTGTTCTTACTATTATCATCATTATTATTGTCTATATAATAAAAGACTTTTATTGTCTTTTATTATCTTTTGTCTTTATCTTTATTATCTTGTCTTTATTTTATTTATTTATTTATTGTATTATCTTTTATTGTCTTTATTATCTTATTATTACTGTCTTTTATGGTCTTACTATTTATTACAAAAAGTTAGAATTTCCAATTCTAGTACAGTAAATGAGAGGTTTCATTTACACATGAAATATTTTGTAATTTGGACCAGAGTTGAATGATTTAAATTCCTGTTTGTTGAATCCGGTGAGTAAACCCGGCATGGAAAGTGTGGGTTCCCACTGGAGATTTGCTGAATTGAGGTTCCGCTGTAATGCTGCATTAATATTTTTTAAATGGTCGTGTACAAGCCAGTAACAAACGGTTGGAATGAATTCATAATGTCTATTCAAGTGAGAGTATACAGTACTGTATATGTTAACATTTTTAGTTATTTTAATCGTGATGATTAATATTGAGTATTAAAGACTTTAATGGTAATCCTAAGTAATGGATGTGGTACTAATCATAGAAGTATTTCTAAGACAAGGAGAATATGACTATCACTGCCATCATTTCCTTGCAGTCCATCACTTCATGTGGCAACATAATCTTGTGCTATAAATGTGTTGTGCAATATTTTGATTCTTGTTTTCCTTTGAATTCTAATTTTTGTTGAGCGAAGTCTTGAATAGAGAAAAATGCTTCCTGTTCTTCATTATTAACATGAGGGCTGTTTAGAGATGCATATGGGAATTCAGTGTTTTAACGATATGGTGGATTGAAGTTGATCTTGTTGGTTATTAATGCTTGCATTATGTTAATATTTGTATCCAATTTCCTAAGCAGTTTATGTAAAGATTATCTGAAAGGGTGTTGTTTTCTATTGACAATATTTGACTTTTCTCTCTCAAAGGTTAACCCTGTACTGCACTCACCGAGAAATCTTGTTTGATAGGTGGTGCGCTCGCCAAGAAAACCAATTTGTAGATATAGCGAACGATTCAAAACTTCTGTAGGTACACGGGGCTTATCTCTGCTTCCTTGGGCCTCCAGTAAACAGATGCCATCCTGAAAGGAGATTGTCTGCATCCCTCCTGGATGTGCGGGCCTCAGTACTGAGTGAGGAACTTAGGGTAACGCATGCAGCAGGAACAGAATCACAGTGCAGCTTGAGGTCACACCACCACTTAATGATGATGAATAAAATAAGCATGATTATTTGGCGATGATAGTATCATAGATGATTCTGACTGATAAAGACTGTGCACAAGGTTCAGATATCAGGAAACAATGCTGATACACAGTTATATAATATAACTACAAAAAAAGCAGTAAAAAAACAAGTCTGACATTGAAATAAATCAGTATAAATATATTCAAGACAAGACCCATCCCTCCCGCCTGGCCCGAGTAACCTTAACAAGACGTCACGTCCATCTGCACTTGTGAATCAGTGATGACATTTTGATTTTCCTCTCCACCGCAGCCACAGGAAGCTACATTTATTTTTTTATTATCCCATGATCAGTGAATGCACTTTAACAATATTAGATTTTTTATTTTTTATTTTTTTATGCGCACCTCAAAGTTGTCATATTAAATGTGTGTGCAGTGTAGTGGTTAAGCATATACAGCTGTTGTTACATTTGAGCAATATGGTTGTTTGATCTGTTGCCGGTCCAAAGATTGAAAGAGTCTAAGAAATCTTTGTTAGGTTTACAGTATAGGTTTAAGTTAATATAGGTGTTGATTAATTCATATAGTGTTATATAGTGGCATTTAATTATTTTAAACCTTAATTTATAAAGCACCAGCATTGTAGTTTCCTAGCCTGTGTGAAGCCATTTGCATAAGCAGCACTGTGTTTACATTCATCTTGCTCTTGTCCCACTCCTAATGATAACATATTAGTGCATCATTAAAGCTATTTCTCACGCAATCTTCCTGAATTTTGTTATTCGGAAACCTGGACATCCACTAGTCTATGCATTAGCTAATTTCAACTAATAATTAATTTAATATTAATACATATTAATGCATATTAAATTTAATAATTAACTAAATAATTAATTTCCATTAATATATATCTAATTGTCTTCACTTTTAAGTATTAATATGGTTTGGCAGTATGTACACATGTCAGTCATCCTCGTGGCTTTAATTTCTTGGTGAGCACCCTGGCTTTAATCCTTTCATTGTGAGATGGGATTGCAGTCAGCTGGTCATTCAGTTAAATTTGACTGACATGGATAATCTACATTAATCCACTGATTATGAACCATAAGCATTCTTGCATAACTGCACGTTCCACGCATCCTGGATTTTATTCTGTTTTTGTGACTGGAAAGTGAAGGAAGCATTAAATATTAATGCTCAGATTGGTGTTTAATATAATAAATAGTTGGAAAAAGTGAACTTTGGAAGGTCTCCGGAACCCAACCCTAAATTTCACAAATATGTTTAAAGTTTGCAGAAACTACTGTAAGTCAAAATAACATTTGGTACATGATGGGTTTGTTTTGAAATTGTAAGATTGAAAAAATCATACTCAAGTGGCTTGAGCAAGTTGAATGAGTCTGTATGGTAAACTGTTGATGAGAATGTATTCAAGTGAAATTGAGGCTCGGTAGGAGAGAAACTTGGAAATAAGATGAGCACACCAGACATGAAGAGTAAGTGTGAGAGGAAGAGAGGTTTAATGGTGAATAATGCCTGGGATATGGTAAGGGACAAGGCTGCGAAGACACTATTTGTAATGAGAGAGTGAAAGTATTTGTACCATATATGAGAGTTTGTAGGGGCACTATATACCATTTCATAAAATACTGCTGTGAGCTACTGCTGGAGTGTGGTGGTCATTGGTTAGTTATGATGATATATCATGTGAATGATTTAATGAATGAATGAGGAATGTTTGTCTTTATAATATCTATAACCTTCTTTCACCATTATTCATCATTTTTATTTGGATTAAATTCTCCCCATTATATTGAAGTGGTAACTGGGATAATGATAAATAATGAATGTTTTATTAGTGATAAATGTATCTGCAGATCTATAGTTGTTTGATTTCTGGAAGTACTAGTGTCACTTGGAATTATATATTCCTTTGATCTGCTTACAGATATAACGGCAGGCAGCTGTTCTTATTTTTTAAATGTTTGTAACATATGCAAGCATTAATAACATATATTTTTAAATAGCTATTTTTATTTTACAAAATTTATTTCAAAAAGTTATTTTCCACCATAGTACTTGACAAATATTGGTATCGGGCCTGTCCTTGTGTGTAGGTTTCCCAATTGCATCTCTTGCAGCAACAACGTAGACTTGCAAGCGATGGGGTCGATTTTTCCCAGATACCTACAAGCCGTACTGTGATCATAGAGGAAAACAAGAGCGTCAGCAAGCTGTTAAACGATGTACGGGATATGAAGCGTGACCAGGACTCCATGAGCACAAAGTTACTAACTCTGAAGCGTGAGAATGAGGCACTTTGGAGGGAATATGCCAACATGAGGCAGAAGTTCTCCAAACAGCAACAGATAATTGAAAAGGTAATGGTTCATTAAACTAAAGCAGCATTTCTTAACCATTTTACAATTACAGACCCCCCCAATGGATTACCCAATATGTCCCCACTTACTCCCCATGCCAGACAGTCAAAATCAGCAGCAGCAGTAGTTCTGCTAAGTACCAGTATGACTTCCAGAGCTGTCAATAACTTGCCTTGTGTTGGTTCTGAGAGTCAGTGTCCTCATGGGGCTGGTGTTACTTTACCTGTGGATAGCTAGGAATTGAACATCTGAAAGAAAATGTAAAGGCTTTTGTAAATTTACAGATAAACAGTATATCACAAATGCACAAGCTAGTTGCATTTGGGAGCTTTTTTTTAACTCCCACATGCAACTTTTTTTTAGCTTTTTCAACTAGGGAGATTTTTGCTGTTTGTGTGCACTCAAAGCATGGAATTGAGGTACATCCTGTGAGATGTACACACAGGTGACATGTGAGGTACACAGGTACATGTAGCCTTACATGTACCATTAATTCTAATCTAACAACAAAACTTTGCGTCCCGAGATCTTCCTACCATACCCGACACTTCAACCCCCCCCCTTTCATCACCTGCATCATTATCAATACCACCATTATCATCGTTACCATCATTTTCATTACCACAGTTACCATGACCACATTCACCTCCACCAGTTCCATAACCACTACTGTATTACCACCATCATTATCTCCACTATATCTGCATTGCACCAACCTGTACTTATTAATCTCCCTGGAATAATTTTATATACTATACTCTAACATTATACCCATTACAGCCTCCTGTAATCTGCTCCTTTTTGCTCATTGCACTTAATAATTTGAGATACAGTAGTGCCAACCTGGGGATAAATTTATTAAATGTACATATGTGATTAAAGCGTATTTACTGTAGTTGATATTGTGATATTGTGTTGCAACAAACACAAAAAAGGATTATCAAGATAAAAGGCTATTTATGAAATTTTCTTTCAGTTAATCCACTTCCTCCTTGCCATGGTCAAGAGCCCTTCCAAACCTCTGATTCAAAAAAGAAAATTTAGCCATCTGGCTTTGGAAGGCAGTGAGGAATCCTCTTCTCCGTCTGCCAAGATTAACACTCTCCCTCAATTTTCTCAAGGAAATCCCATTGATGTGAGTTTTCTCTGGCAAATTTGTCGGTGATAGTTAAATTTTACCATAAAGTATCATATGGAAAACCGAGATAAATTGAAGTGTTAGTTTTTACTAATTATGCGTAATGTACAATTATATACTAAGGTACATAATTTGCCCTGTGCAGTTATCTATATTTTGCAATCACAATGTATTACACTGTAGTCATTTTTATATTCTCCTCTGATCCCTTTATACAACTGGTTTATCTGACTTTGCCGTCTGGCTGTTTAAGATTCTGTAGGTATGCAGTGAAATAGTTTCCTGTCTGCAATGTAAGAAAATACAGCAGCTGTATTTTGTTAGATATAGCAAACACAATTCTGTTTGATTGTTACATAGTGAGGTGCACTTTGATGATGATTTTATTACATTATGAAGTTGAAGATTTTATTCTTTGCATGCGATATGACTATAGTGCACAGATAAGAATGATTAGTTGTATGATGATTAGTTGTATGAGCTCTGGCTGCAGTGCACAGGTTAAGAATGATTAGTTGTTGATATATTTGTTTATTATACTAAATTCTTTACAAATTCTTCAAAATGTTTAGATTGGAGAATGTGAAGGTGGGACGGTGGGAGGTGCTCAGATTCAAGAAGTAACTGACCTGGTCGATCCTAATGATCCAGAGAGCATCACAAATGTGTTCTTGTCCGACGATGATAGCTCGGAAGATAACACACTGTTACCCGAAGTAGAGAGTGAGTGAGTATTCCAGGAAATATGACCTGGTTTAAATTTGGCAGATGCTCTAGAGCTTTGAATTAGTTTTAGCTTATCGTATTTGTGATATTATACTAGTAATATATCGGCACTCTAGATATTTCTTGACTCTTTGTTAGTTACTGTATTGTAAATCATAAAACATTTTAACACTTTTAATGTTCCTACCCCGTAGGGGTGTGCCCCGTTACACCCAGACCATAAATATTCTGGCCATTTCAAGGTGATAGAAATGTTTTATTTTATGTTAATTTTTTCTTGTTTATATTTTGGATTATTACCATAAATTTGGTGTCAAAATGTTTGCAAATGAATTTGCTACAACACAGGTGTAAAATAAATTTTTTTTAATAGATTATGCATGATTGTGCTGAATGTGAATGTTTATGAACATTAAATATTCCTTCTATATATTTCAACATTCCTCATTTATTTTTTAACGTAATTATAACAAATATGGAAATGTGCACACCTGATCAGTTTATATGGTTGCAAAAAGGTAAACGAACATTAGAATCATATTTTTCCGGGAGACGATATACAAAGCATTGTGAGAATACTCAGAGTAATTGTCTTAAGTGATAAGTAGTTGGCCGAGGTGATCTCTTGATGGTCTCTTGATACTTTGGTTGATTCCTTGATAAGTTATGCCCACACTGTACATCAAATAAGAAAAACAAAAGCAAAAAATTATCAAAAAGTTATTTTCTAGAATTTTGAGATGGATAATGCATTTAAATGTCATTGGAACTTTTACTGCCAAAGTATAGATGACTTGTTTTAACATCATTGAAACATTAAAAATATTACTTTATAGTCATTTTGATGGTAACCTGTTGCTGCTGTGCTGCATTTGTGTGCTGTCGTTATTATTTTCTGACATGATCATCTCAGCCACTGTCATGTACTGTATCTCCTTTTGATTATGATATCTGTTAGAATTCTGCTTTAGCAACATTTCTTTGTCTACAACCTCTTATCAGAACTTGAGAGTTCCTGATTCAGGTAGTGTGTAGGTACCTCAGTAACTCCTAGACAGCTCAAGGCCTTGTCTTTATTGCATTGCTCTTGGCTGCCATTCTTGCCCCAACAATTCAACACCCCTCCTTTTCCCTGTCTTTTATGGCTCAAATGTCCCTTGGTTTATAGTTCATATATTTCTTTGATTTGTGTCCTGCTATGCTTTAGTTTAAAAAGTTGTATTTTCTCTTCAAGCTGCTGTGGTGAATAAGCTGAGAACTGTCCAGAAATAGAGCATCAAGTGTAATGAGATGCCCCTTTCTGGGTGGCAGCTAAGTAGCTTCACTTCCCACCTTGCCATGTCAGTAGGTGGGCTTAGGACCCAGATTGTGGTACTTGTCTCACTGGCACCTTGAGTTGCTCAGGCTTCCATATAATGGTGAATCAGGGTTGTGAATAAGGATCTAGTTAAATTGTTTAAGGCAAACATTGCTCAGAGAGAGGTCGAGTGTTTTGAAAATTCTTTTCAACTTTCAGGAGGCAGTTCACTTTATAGTAGCTATCTTACAAGTTTAACTTTCCATAACTTGAATTATGATGTCATATTTAGTAAATTGGGAGCTGAAACTGCTTCAGCATGTGTGTGTGTAACCTGTAATGTATTCGTTTCTATTCCTTTCTACCCTGAGGTAGAAAGATCTTTCTATCTGCTGTTCTATTTCTCCATTTTGTATTTTAAACTACTTTGTGGAAAAGTACAGTACTATGTACAACAGGAAAGTTGGTTGACCCATATTAATAGGATCTTTGGGTTTGGATTCCATTAAATGTAATTATTTATGATTACAGTGCACATCCTAAATTTGGCTTAGTGGGTTGTTTTAAACTGTGTTCTTGCACCCTGCTGCTCATTTTCTCTATAGGCTAATTATTAAACATGTTTATTTTTTGTTAAATACTTCTGTTAATAACACGCAGAATCTCTCTCCCCAGTTCTGGCATGCGAGTGTCGGAATTCATTAAAGATAAGTTGGAAACGGAAACAGTGCTCACAGTTAATGGCGAGCCTTTTCATTTTATCGACATAAACCACGATCAGCCTCTTACCACAACAACAATTACAGACCCTGTTTCTAGTAAGTACTACTGTATGTAATTGATGCCTATATTTTCTTGTCAGAAAATGAATACTGTTGGTCATTGTTCTTGTACGGAACATGTGGCATGAGAGAGAGAGCTGTGTTTCAGTAGCCTCTTCAGATTAGTGTAGTACTGTAGGTAGAGTGACTGGGGAATGTTTGATACCCATTCTGGCTCCGTCTTTATTCCCCCCCCCCCCTTCAAAAAGTAAAGTAGCTTTTTGTTTTCATTTTCTCTAATTTTAGCCCATAAAATATGTGATGCTGTTTCCATTTGTTGGTATTAAGATCACATTTGTGTAATAGTATACAGTAAACCAGTTAACTTGTTCTCCCATGGATGTACTTAGTTCTTTTACTATACTCACATTGCCATTCTACTTCATTATCTTTACCTCCATGTATCTTGTTCAGTCACAATAGTCACATTTTAAAAAATAATTTTTTTTTCTTTAATTATACCTTTTTGATGTTTTGTTTTACTTTATGTTTCATTTCCCTTCAATCATTCTTGCTTCCCAATGTAAACTGCAACTGGTTCACTTTTCTGTTTATAGTAAACCAGCTTGTAAAGTGTTAACACATGCTTAAAGATTTGAAAAAAGTATAAAAATCAGGAGAAAATTATACTTGTGGCCACTGCTGCAAAGGTGGGGGGGAGAGGGAGCATTTCCAAAACAAACAAGACATGAAAGCTAAACATACCTAAGTTAGCATATGTTCTAAATATATTTTTTTCAAGTTTATATATTGCTGAACCTATGATTTGTTTTTTATTTTCAGCGATGACTGTTGTAAGTCCTGAAGGCACCGACATGACTCAGAATTTTAATGAAAAAACCTCTAATTCGTTACTGGACGAAGCACCTCTTAGTCCAGAGCTTTTAGACACTGTCGATCCAAGTGCCGTAACACAGTCGTTTAAGTATGCCGTTAGTGACACGCCTGTTGTGAGCTCCAGGTGAGAATATTAGATAAACCATACTGTAGATATTTCATGATTCATAATCTATTATTATGTATGATATTGGAGTTGATTTTACATTTTCAACATGCAAATTGTGATAGACCAGTTAGCAATACTGTAGTCTCTGTTGTACAATAGTGGCATACTCCCTCTGCACACCTCACAGGTTATATTGCTCCAAGCTCGGCCTCTGGGCAGGGAAGAATGTTTGGGTTCCCATCTTTAACTGTTCACCTTTGTTCATTCAGCTGTAATTGGGGATATAATTGTAAACAATGTGGCAGATTTTGTTCCAGGGGAAGACTAATAGGATAAGATGTAGATGAGCAATAGGAAGAAGAATGCTAAGCCAGCTAACAAGAATCAGAAGTCATTGCTCCTGTACCCATATTTTATCAAAATATTAAATAATATCCACAGACAATTATATTATTATGATGTTCCAGATGTTTGAGCAAAAGTGAATGAAATAACGGAGAGAGGCACCGCTCCTGTGCCAGGTAAGTCCACGACGGGCTCACCATAGCCCGTGCTACTTGCCCCGCTCCTGTGCCAGGTAAGTTATGGGCTCACCATAGCCCGTGCTACTTGGAACTTGTTCCGAGTAGCTGAATCTATAACAACAACAACAACAACGAATGAAATAAGCACTCTTCATTGTTTGGTGTACATACATGGCAAAGGTTATCTGAATCACCTTGTGTAGGTAATGCAGATAGCCATCATTTATATACCCAGAGCAGACTCGACACCATTTCCTGTGGTAAAAGAATACAGTTCATTGCTGGTTCTATACAGTTGCTCAATAATTTATTCTATAAATCTACAACCATATTCACAAACCAGTATTTACCCAGGTCTTCCTTGAATCTAAACATATTCAATTTTTGTATCCATTGTTTCATGGTCTATTGTTTGTTGATACATTAAGCACCCTATTAATATTCCCTTACAATATACCCTTTCATTTCTATACATCAATTATTTCCACACTTTCTCTGTCTTGCTAGAATTAAGCTTTCTTAATCTAATTTTGGAGGTTTCTAATTCCTATGATTAACTTCGTCATATTTTTCTATACACATTCCTATGCATACATAATATTCAATAGCATGGTGCCCAAAGCTGAACTTCAGAAAATAAAAATGTTAGCTTAGTGAGGGCATAACTAGAATTGCTAAGCTGTAAATAAGATATAAAAATATTTTCTAGCAAATGAGACAAAATACTTATTTATAATGCCACTCATATTTTTGTTGAAATAGAGTTTCCAGTGCAGAATATTTTACGGAGTACATAAGTATGCATTGTAACATTAATGTGCTTTAAATGTTATATTTAAGCAGTAGCAGTGTGAGAGCTTGCAAAGACCCTAGTCCTTCAACATCTGTGAGCTCGGCCAAAGTCCAAACAGTTAGCCAGAAGGGCAAGATGAAGGCCATCAAGGCTGAGAAGGGCACTACTTCAAGCTCTACCTTGAGTGTTGCAGTCCCTGATAAGGGTTTACACAAGTAAGGCATTTTCCATTATACTCTTCTTGATTTATAATGCATTTATTTTGGTACCCAGCCTGAGGAAGTGTTGACATGTGAAAGTTTCCAAAACACTCGAGTCTCTCCACTTTAGGAGAGTACAGAAAGTTTATTTACAAGCTAAGTAGATAAGTCAACTAAAGTGTGTGAAGTTGATATTGCATCAGGAGATATACTCAAGTTGGATTGTATAGTCAGGAACTAGGAAAAGGTAAAAATACAAAATTAAAACAAGAATTGGAGTCATTGAAAGGACATTCTGGAAGTTTCATAACTGTTGAACTTCAGATACAGTAGAATACACTAGAATAGTAGAATATACTACTTCATAGTAGTGTATTCTGTTTTGGCAAAATCACACTGATCATTGGTGAAAGAGGCATGTTGACCAGAGGTATGAAAGAGGCATGCTCATGGCTCTACCCATGATATACTGAAGGCAATGCTTTTGGAATTAGCCCCTCAGTTGCTTCGTGAGCCAACAGCCAAAGCCCATCTAACATGCTGTATAGATGTTACACCCTCTAACCTCCACTTCACTGTTAAAATACCTTTTCAAACCATCCTGCCACATCATTGAGAAAGGGAAACATAAGAGTGCACTCTTAATCTTCCATGAGATCAACTGCCTGCTATATTACAAAAGAGAAAATCAGAACCAAACCTCTCAGAATGATGAAGAGGGGGTACCAGGACAGCCAGTTATCACTTTGCGGACTACCAGATGGCATCTACCAGAGGTCACTACCAGTACTAGCTACACAATTATACTGGAGGAGTCAGCTGGCCTCACTTTCTGCCTGGCAGTCCATCTTTGTAGGACTCGGCTTTGTAGAGACTAATTCAAATAAGATGTCTAACATTTCTTTGAGACTTACTTTCTGCATAATGTGACTATTGCTTTATTTATGTCACATAATTATCAGCCTTTTGCTGGCTATTCTTCTCCTGAGTCAGCTTAGTTTGAGGGTTGTCTTCCTAGGTGCTGACTATATAAAGACTAAAGGCCCCCTACAGTTTTCTTCTCTGTGGTCACTGATGTGTTTTAATGTGGCCTGACTGCTCTTGAGAATGCCTCTGCCGTGCTGACACCATTTTTGGGCGACTGATCTAAGCTTTGGAACATTGCTCTTAACACACAAGGTACACACACACACTGCTTTCCTGTTCATGATGGATTCCGTGACAGCCCATTTCCCTGGATGCTTCTCAAGTGTGTTGTTTGCCTTGACTTTTACATCCCAAATCTTTAATATGATTCCTTCCAAGTGCTATATAGTTGTAATGACTTCACACTTTCTCCTGATAGTTCCCTGTCCCCTTGCTTTGACTTTGTTTAGACTGTGACTATCTTTGCTCTTGCTTGTCATAATGTGTGGGGGGTCGAGTGAGTACACACCAGGCACTCCTCTCACATATGGACTGTTGCATTGGGCTTGTTTGATTGTTTGCTGCAGTGAGTCAGCCTTTTTGAGCTCATGAACTAAGGAAGTTCACTGCATTTGCCAAATTCTTCTCAGGTCCAGTAACTCCTGGTCGGAGACAGGCCGCAGGTTCTGGAGATTGAACTGGACTTTGGGGAACCACTGTCTTCCTCATCTATCTAAGCCTCAGAGGGGTTATAATTTTTTTTTCAGCCTCAGAGGGATTAGAATTTTGTTTTCTTGTTTTGAGGTAGTCCTTGGATCGCATGGCCTGGGGTTTTTCTATTCATGGAGCTTTGCTTGGGTTTGTTTTTTGCATGTGCTGTAACTTGCTCAGTCAGGAGTTGGTTCACAAAGCAACTGAATGACAATTGCTATTATCACAGACGTAGGAGTAATTTGAAATGCTGTTTTTCTTCTAGGCCAATTGGTTACTTAAATTTGGAAGAGTGTATAGGTAGTGCTGCCACCCGATGGCGGTCATGTGTCATTTAACTTGGTAGCAGTAGTTCACAAGGTAATAATTGGCTGTCCTGGTTCAAGGCCTTTATTAAAGTGTGTTAGGTGACTTGCTGTAATCACTTCCTCCTTCCTCACACACATTTTTGTATACATGAGTTCCTCCCAATTACTTACGAGGCTTTTTTTTACCCATTTTATTTCAAAGCAGACAGGAACTCCAGGCCCACATGGATGATATGCAGACCACTATTGATTCCCTGCAAGATCTTCTCAGCACAGGAAACTTCAGTGTCGATCCTTCCATGTTTCTCACAGTAAGACTTACAGTAATATAACTTTTAAGCTCAACAGTAATTTGGGCTTAACCTTTGTTGTTTCTAGATAACCAAACGTCATCTTTATTTGCTAAGGAATTCTATTTTGAATATACTGTAATTAAACCTTTTTGTTTTGCTATGAAAACTTGTCTTATTAGATAAATTATATTATTAGATATTTTTAGATAAAAGGAAACCAGACATACCCTTGACTGGGTTATTAGACCTTTAGCCAAACCCATTGGAAAAAACTAATAATTAATATATATTATTATTGATTTTTATTATTTTATATTATAAATAATTAATATTTATTATTCAATTGATAAATAATATATATCTGTATATTTATTAATTATTAATTTTTTTCCAATGGGTTTGGCTAAAGGTCTTACAGCTCAGTTGAGGGTATGTTTATTTTCCTTCAGTTCTTAAATAATAATAAAATATATTTGGTAGGTGCCGTATTGGAACTGTATTTTGTTACACTTGTTTAGTTACCTCTGCAGATGTTTGGCTCTGAGGACTACATGCCAGAACTGGACTCTATGAGCTCTGTTACCAGTGGTAAGTTAAATCATTGTTTTTGTATGTGTGTACGTACAGTACTTGTATCCATTGTTTATAAGTTACAGTATTTTAGTTGAATGTTGTGGGGTGCTACATTGGATAACTGCTGAAGTATGATTTGGCTTGTGTTTTCTGTGATGCTCTGAAACTTAGTATGAATGATGTAATAAATGAGCACGTTATATTTTTGTTTTTTCAATATCTCTATCCTTCTTTCACTATTCCTATTTTGTGAAGATGCCACTTGGCATCGGCCAGCAGTAGGTGGAGGGGGTGGGGCGGGGGAGGCAACTACTGGGTGAATCGTTTGTATAGCCGTTTACTGCCTTGTTTACTTTCTATGAACCTTGACGTTGTCTTTTCTACTTCGCCTCGCTTTTGTAGTGTTTCTCCAGTGAGAGTGATCTAGAATTTTCTGCTTCCTCTGCCTCTTGAGATGATGATGAGGTTATCTTGAGATGATTTCGGGGCTTTTTTTAGTGTCCCCGCGGCCCGGTCCTCGACCAGGCCTCCACCCCCAGGAAGCAGCCCCTAACAGCTGACTAACACCCAGGTACCTATTTTACTGCTAGGTGACAGGGGCATAGGGTGAAAGAAGCTCTGCCCATTGTTTCTCGCCGGCGCCTGGGATCAAACCCAGGACCACAGGATCACAAGTCCAGCGTGCTGTCTGCTCGGCCGACCGGCTCCCTGAGGCTGCCCCACCTCTGTGAGGTGGGGCAGCTTGGTGCCTGTCTCCCTCCTGAAATCATATTCAGGTTCTGCATTTAAGCTTGTATTCACCTAGTTGTGCTTGTGGGGGTTAAGGTCTGCTCTTTTGGCCTGCGTCTCAACTGTTAATCAACTGTTACTAACTACTACTACCCCCGTCCCCCAGGAAGCAGCCTGTAACAGCTGTCTAACTACCAGGTACCTATTTACTGCTAGGTAACAGGAACATCAGGGTGAAAGAAACTCTGCCCACCTGTTTCCGCTGGCTCCGGGATCGAACCCGGACCCTAGGATTGAAAGCCTCAAGCGCTGTCCACTCAGCCACAGTCCCCCATGGGAGGAGGATTTGAATACTTTACCTTATTTTTTTATTATATCATATTTTTTGCAGCAAATATATTCACATCACATTTTCATATAAAGGTACAGTAGATCCTTTTACTATGAGAATGTTCTAGAAACATTTTATAAATTATTTTTTTCAGATTATCAGAATTCTTCTAGTTTCCATTTTTTTATTTGCTTTTACTTAGAGTATTTTGAGTTTTTAGATGTTTAGAAGAAGAATGGATTTGTTTGTACAGGTATATTTTTTGCTTTGTAGTATCTGAGTAGAGGAACATATTTCCTAAAATAAAGAACAAATGTAATCCAGTTTTATTTATACCATATTCATTTATTTTTTATAGGGAATGAATTATCAGTGTATAATCCGAGCCTGCTGGACCTAGCTGGAGACATTGAAGAAGACGATCCAATGGCCTTCCTCAACAGTGCTTCTCCTACATCCACCGCAGCCCCTACATCTACATCGTCCCCTTCAAACAGCTCTGCGGGGCCCACTCCACCCAAACAGCTTAGACTGAACATAAAAAGAGAGTGTATTAATGATGATCCATTGGAAACGCCTAAGATTTTATCGCCTGTTAATTCCCCCGTGTATCGGGGTAAGAGGCGTACTAATTAGGGAATTGACATACTTGGTATGTGAAGCATATTTATGTTCATCACTTGGAAACATAAGCAACCAAGGGCAATGTGGATACGAGGTGGTGATAAGCCTTTCTTGTGACGGTGATATTAAACTGCATCTTTCTATATGCTAGAAGCCTTGACATAGTTTCCTTATTTATGTAAGTTAAGTTACTGCATATTAATTGAAAAACTTATGCATGAATGAAGTTGCAAGTGCACAAAAAGACAATTTGTTAGTCCCACTAGTATTTTTTATGAAGAATTTTTCATGAAAAGTTGTAGAAAGGTTTGGTTAGTGTATTACTAACTATAAGAGAGAAACAGATAAGCATTTGTCAAGTCATTTGTACATACATTATATGACTGTAAATTAAAAACAAAATGGTATATGATTGAAGATGAAAGTATTTAGCAAGAACTTAATTGTGTTTCTTAATTAACACTGGTAGTAACTGCTGAATTTCTATTGGTTGTAATTTTGCACAAAAGCAAGTGTGCAGACACAGGGTTGTGCTTCAAACACTACTAGGAAACACTTGTTCAACCTGTACTCTGGAAATCAATGTTACAGCAGGAAGATTGCATTTTAGGGTAACTTGCTGCACATTTAGACTGTAGCATTCAGAAAAGTATGCAGTAGTTATGGTAGTGATTTTCTTTCCTCTGTTTTTTTTGTACTGAAGAGGGTGAAGCCTGTTGCTGCAGTAATGTTGTAAAGAGTTCTTACCAGCATACCAGTTTTGTTACCTTAAGTCTGTTTCTCAGATATTTACAAGGAGTGATAAATGTTATGGAAGCTATTGCACTGCATGATATTTTAATGTTTGAAGTAAGTTGACTTGTTGCCTATACATATTGCGTGATTGGGCTAATAATGATTCTTGCAAAGCATTCAGGAGTTGGAATACAGTAGCTATGCATTGCAAGTGATGCAAATAGCAGCTTAGGCTACAAAGCAATTATGTATTTAGTTGAGCTTAAATTGTGTACTATATAAGTAAAAATTATGCAATTGAATTGTTAGCAAATATGGTGTTATATGCTTACTTCAATTAACATATTATGGGAGAAACTTCTGCAAACTCATGTGAAGGATTAAGGTGTCAGGGTCTTTGATAGAGGGAATAGGTGATCAGAGCAATATAGAATTAGTGATCAAGTCGGGCTGGATAAGTAACATAGCACAGATGACGAGATAAGTCGTGTAAGACGGATTGCCAGATGAGCAGGGTAGGATGGATAGCCAGATGAGCAGGGTAGGACGGATGGCCAGATGAGCAGGGTAGGATGGATGGCCAGATGGGCAGGGTAGGACGGATGGTCAGATGAGCAGGGTAGGACGGATGGCCAGATGAGCAATGTAGGACGGATAGCCAGACGAGCAGGGTAGGACGGATGAGCAGGTCAGGACGGATGGCCAGATGAGCAGGTCAGGACAGCTGGCCAGATGAGCAGGGTAGGACGGATGGCCAGATGAGCAGGTCAGGACGGATGGCCAGATGAGCAGGGTAGAACGGATAGCCAGATGAGCAGGGTAGGACGGATGGCCAGATGAGCAAGGTAGGACGGATAGCCAGACGAGCAGGGTAGGACGGATGGCCATATGAGCAGGGTAGGACGGATGACTATATAAGCAGGGATGGATGAGTGACCAGATAAGTAGCATAGGGTGGATGACCAAGCAACCAGGAAAGTGTAAGTAACCAAGCAACCAGGAAATTGTGGGTAACCAAGCAACCAGGAAAGGGTGAGTAACCATGTAAACCAGCATAGGACAGGTAACCAGGCAAGCAACATAGTATGGTTGACCAGGCAAGCAGCATAGTATGGTTGACCAGGCAAGCAGCATAGTATGGTTGACCAGGCAAGCAACATAGTATGGTTGACCAGGCAAGCAGCATAGGATGGGTGGCCAGGCAAGCAGCATAGTATGGTTGACCAGGCAAGCAACATAGTATGGTTGACCAGGCAAGCAGCATAGTATGGTTGACCAGGCAAGCAGCATAGTATGGTTGACCAGGCAAGCAGCATAGGATGGGTGGCCAAGCAAGCAGCATAGGATGGGGTAACCAGGCCAGCATAAAATGAGTGACCGGACATAAACATCGAAATCTAGATTTTCACAGTTGGAAACAAAGTCAAATGATCGACACTTGCCATAAGGGAATTTTATTTTGCAATTTGTGGTGTAGCTTCCTCTTCCTCCTCGCCATTCTCGCCTTTCCCTTAATTGCCATTAACACACTGGACCACTGACAAGGACCACAACTAGGTGAGTACCGGACAAATCACATCATCAGATGGCATACCATAAGCTGGGTCATTAGCACCTAAAGGTTAATTGCTGCTGTTCCTATATAATTTATTCTAAAAAAAAAACTAAATTTGTAATAAAGTCTACTATAAAGAAAATCTTTCAAAGAGGTGAGTCCCCTTGCTGTATCACTTGAGAGAGCAGAAACACTTGGCTAACTCACAGGGTTGGGATGGATCCAGTTATTATAGCAGGTAAATATAAGTTTAGTGTTTCTGACAGTCTATAAATATTTGTGGCAATATTTAATATTTATATATCATTGTTTTAATGCATTTATGTGCTGTACTGTATATGTAAACATTGGCTACCTCAGGTCATTCAGTAATCTGACAGTTAAGTTCCATTATTGGGGTTTCGTGTGAATCAAAAAAGGCGGGGAGCCGAGATTTTGACAGTTACATGGAGGTAAGCTATTTAGGCCTGAATCAATGAATGGTTAGTGTAGAGTACGCAGGAGATGGAGACAGACGCATGGTGACAAGAACCTCAAGGGGTGTAAACCTGTCTGCCTCACCTTTGTCCATGATGAAATGGTCTATTTAAGCAATTTTGTGTACATTGTATTTTCAGTTATTACTATTTGATATTTTTACAATTTATTGTACTGGCCTTTAAGTATTTAAATTTGTGTAACTGTATTTCTAAACATTTGTTTGATTACATAATTGTTATACAGTATTCTACTTTAAAATTGTTGCATGCAGTATTTATAAATATATTGCCAGTACTATTCATTTGCATTTAGCAGTAAATATAAAACCACAGGTGCAATGCAATTCTAAATTTAATTTTGTATGTTTTTGCATCATGCATCCAGACCAAGGGCAAGCTTCTCCTGCGTGCAAGCAATGGGGGGTACTTCTCGCTATATCAACCTGTCATCTAGAAATGATAGTACCCTTCGTTACAATGGCTGGAAGTACAAAATTTGGACCGTTTCACACAGAAAAGTTCACATTTTGTACTTCAGTTTTGTATTGTGCCTGATAAAGAAACCCAATCCTAATGTTTCCTGGCTCAAGTATAGTGCATATATATACTAAGGGTGCACAAGTTTGACCTAGGACAGGGTAGGTCAAGTTTATAGTTATTGGTTTATACTCGATAGTTCGGTCGATAGAGCTTTGGCCTGACATGCGTGGGGACTGCGGTTCGAGTCTCCTAAACCCCAGGTGAATGGAATATAGTTACTGTGTTTACATTTATTATGACATTTAGAATTCAAATAGTACAAAGCATGACTTTTTTGGGGGTACAACAGTCTATGGTTGATCAGTTCTATCCATAATAACTAAAGGTTCAATTTTTCGGGGAAAATGGGTTGCATTATTCATGGATTTTCATGCATTTTTCATTATTTGTGAACAGGCAAAAATATCTGCAGGCAGTAGTAGTGAGGCTAGATCAGTTAGGAAGAAGTTGAAGAGTTAATATGGACAAAATAGCTAAATTGGCCTAGAAAAGTGATAAAGGGTGAGAAGCAAGGAGGCCAGCACAGGAGTGTGGTACAGTACTGTTTATTAAGTCAAACATATATTTAGAGGTTTTAGAGTTCTTTACCAGGAGAGAGCGAGAGAGAGTTCTGGTGGTAAGAAATGCTGTGTACGAGGAAAATGTTCAGAGGCTGAAACTTCAGTCAGTTACATTACGTGGATAAATCAGTTCTAATAGAAGTTACTGCAAGTACAATATTTAAATTTTTATTATACAGTATTTTGTATACAGTAATTTTGCATTTGAAAAATCCTTGTTTATATATCATTTTGAGTGTACACATGCAAAAATATGTGTTATCTTTTTTAGTAAAGAAAACAACAACAACAACAAATACAGCAAAGTTTTTAAATGTTCCGAATTTCTGAGAGTCAGATGCAAAATGGTCAGTGTTTTTGAGGACGCTACAGTATTGGTGCACCTCCAGGTCTATGGTTTTTCAAAGTGCTCAGATACATATATTTGTTTTTATTGGATTGTAGAATATGTAATTGGACAAAGTAATTATGAAAGTAAAATTATCTATAATTTCATCATTAAAGCACCCTGTACTTTATGAATAATTGATGGTTAGTGCTTCTGCATGTTAAAGCATTACACATGAACATATTTTAATATAAAATTTAAACAAATTTAGTTAAAAATAGCCTCTCTGATATTGAAATTTTCCTGCCGCCACCTTCTTGGGCCCCGGCACCACCACCTGGCGAACATTTTTACTTGAACTGTAATGAAAAAAAATAAAACTGACATTTCATTACTGACTTTGAGGTTGATGGCACGCTTTAACAGCCAGCCAATCAGCGAGTCTTCCTCTTGTTGGAAGTCTGACTGCTGAGGCTGCAAAGCTAATGGTGCTGTTTGCTCAAGTTTATAATTTTCAATATCATGATTTTTGTATCTGATTGGCTCTCCTCTGTTTTGTGAGCTGACAATGATGTTCTTTAGCTCTGCTGTTATCTCTCCTTTATGTCTGGGTGTATGGGGGAGTATGTGGTTGGGGTAAATGCTGCTGGTGTCCAAGTCACGTCATATAAACAATTTATATGATATGGGCGTGGATCACTAATTCCTCTGGGCTTCAGTAATAATCAGTGAAAGTCAAAAATTGAAGTTTGGCAGCAGGATGCTGCTTCAGGAAACTTTCCTTATTAAGACTACTCAGTAGCTTGGTTGATAAGAGCTTCGGCCTCACACGCATGGGGTCGACGGTTCGATTCTCCTAGAGCCCAGGTGGACGGAATGTTTATTTCCACGGAAGTGTGGATGACATTTTTTTTTGTGATTGTCATAATATTTATCAACTTTGTGTTTTTTGTATTGTGGAAAATTCAATACTGGGAATTCCTCATAGTTGTGGAGAATTTTTCGGCTATCGTGCAAAGACCTGGCCTACCTTTTCCACGACCTCCACATGTGGTATCACGAACGCGTTTTGCGTGGGCATCCAAATCGTCCTAACTGCGTGTATATTTGTTTGGTCAACAACCATAACTCCTTCTCCGACGAGCTCTTGGAGGACCATCTTCATTACGTATTTCATAGCCATGTATAACAGTTAACTCATCCTGGGGCTTGGGAGATTGGTCAGATTTGTTAAACTTGTCATCGTTCCACTTATCATTTTTTTCAAACTTTCTTCTTGCCAACTTCCTTTTTAGCTACCTGTACAGGTTCTTTAACCGGTTTCTCTACACCGTCTTCAGCAACAGTCTGGTCATCGTGCTCATAGAAAGTACTTTTCATGGGGATATACTAAAGGTTTTCCCAAATCTTCATCGCCATTTTGTTGTCAGCACGGGGCTTCCGTGGTCCTGTCTCCTCATCCTCGAACTCATCAGAATCCTCATCTAAAGCCCTATATTTAAAGAACAGTTAAAATATCCAGGGATAATGCTGTAAATTTTTTTATGACACCATCTTTGGAATAGATGTGATATTAAGTGGCCTTGACTGCAATTCAGAACCAAATTAAAGTTTTTGTATAAATACAAGGGAATGACATGTTTGAAAGGAGTCTCCTTTCTTTATTAATGGTTTGTTCTTCATCAAGTAACACGAGTCATTGATATTTTCAGCTGAAGCTCATCTCTGTATTTTCTTTCAAGGACTTCATTTTTATATACATTGTTATATTTTTGTTTCCCTGTATGAATTTGTATTTTCTCTCTGGTGAAGAATGAAAATGTTGCTCATCAGTTTTATCCATTATTGTGATAGCTGCTGGCTTTTGTTTATCGTAATTGAACACGGACCTGCGCCTTACTGCCAGAACTGCACGGTTCTCTCTCTCTAGTCACTCACTCCAAGGTGGACTCTCCTGAGTTTCAGGATGAATGGCAATTTTGCTTTCCCACTGTGCCTACATTGTATTTGTCTCTAGATGAAATCTTCGCTGAATCTGGCTCCTTAGATATCATCTTGCATCTTTCTACTCTAGTATCGGCATCCTGAATGATATCTAGAAACTTTAATTTTCTGTAACAGTACTGTACTGTAATTACTGGGCTTAGCATTTGCTGTTGATAATTACTTCCCAGCAATTGGTATAGTTTCCATACCGTTTATCACCTTAAGGTTTGAACGTAATTTCAAGTGAAATACACAAGACCTAAATATGCAAATTTTTTCAGATAATTGTAGTGATTGTATAATACAACGCAATGCCGATGTTGCTGTTGTCATAATTCAGTAATTTGTGTTTCTTCCTTCATAGATTATATCACTATATATCTGTATATTTGTATGTATAGTCTATATAATCAATCTCCATAATAATCATTTCTTAAATATTCTCTGTTTGCATGTAGAAGGTATAAATATCTGGACACGTGTGAATGTCTAAACGCAATTAAATTATTATATTATACTGGTTATATTAATTAATACTGTAATTATTTGGCATAGTTTTACCCTGTTAGGAAGTATTAAGGAATTATCAGTAAGGGATATTTAGGTATGGTCTGGCTGCTTAGTTTTGGCTTAGATTAAAAAATGTGCATATTTATTAGAGGGGACATCTTAGCTTTAGGAGACAAAGTAAATATTTTGGCAAGTCTTGTTTTTCATGGCACAAAGTTTAGATCTTTAGCTAAATTTTAATCTTTATTTGAAATTGGAAATTATGCTTTTCCACAGTTTTTTATATTTTTTTATTGTTATGTCCCTTGATGAAATCCTCAGAGAATCTGATTCCTTTGATGACCAAACCACACACTAGAAGATGAAGAAACGACGACGTTTCGGTCCGTCCTGGACCTGGATCAAGTCGATTTTGGGATTTCTTTGGTGTCGCTCATCTTATGTCTATGCTCTTGTTCTGGCATCCTGAGTGATGTGTAGAAACTTGTGACAGTTCCGTGACACAGACGGTGCTGTGAATTGTTCCATGTTTGACACCCTCATCTGGTAATTACTTAAAAAGAAATTCGATTTGTTAGGTAGCTATTTGGTAGACCATACGATATATACGTTTGTAGTCTGAGCGTGATTTTATATGTACAGGTACATGAATTTTCAAGATAAAATAGGCAATTCAATAAATGGTTTTATTTAATGTATGTATGTATTGGAATGACCTCGAGTCATTTCTACATTGCATATTATAGTTCTCTTTCTCAAACTAAAAATTTGTTTATGGGAAATGTTTAATATATTTTGAATTGCAAAACAAGTCTCCAGAAAATGTGCCAATAGTTCAGTCAGTTAAATAATAAATTTTAAATAGATGTCAATCAAAATTCATTGCTGCAAAAAGATTCAAATTGATCAACTTCAATAAAATTAGATTTGCAAAAAATGAGTTAATGATTGTGATATTAGCACTGAATTTCAAGGAAAGTTAAGAGACTTGTTGGAGTACTGTGCATGAACTGAGACAATGGTGCTTGAAGAGCAGCAGTGAGAAGTCACAAGGTGTGTGCGTGTGTGTAACAAGACTCCACCCGGTCCTTGGTTGCTTAACCCAATATTATCCTTCACAAAGTGAAGTAGATGCTGAATACTGGTTTGTGCAAAATAGATGCAAATTTTCTGTGCACATCACACGTTATATAAAGTGTTTAAATCGTTCATATTATTTAAGGCTTATCACAAAAAAAAATTGAATTTCTATAACAAAAATGTGCAACTTAAACATTATCCAGTGTGTATTTGAAAAAAAAAACATGCAGATGGATCATATATATGCATTTCTGTAAATTCCTACTTACATATAGGGTGATGACATTGTGTCTGCATTTACAATATGAAACGGCTCTGCAATGTATGCTGGATGGAATCATTAGTGATTTCTCAATAATCAGTAACTATAATTAAGTTTAATTACTACAATTAAGATTTGTTACATTGAAAACATAGTCATTATTTTTTGTACATTATTGCCTTAAGATTGTGATTTAATGTATTGCAAGATGCTTTGTACAATATAACACATATATCTTTGAATATTTATACTGTATATGCCCTGTACATAAATTTAACATCAAAGGCTCGAATTTCAAGATGACATAATTAGTTATTCTGAGCCCAATTGTGCTTCTGTATGGACTGTTAATCCTTTTCTGGTAGCTTAATGCTGGTAAGATGCCTGAAAGGAAGCCGCAGAAGGCTCACAATTACTATTGATGTTGCAGTAAATGTGTATCCTAGATATCTCTCAAGTGTGAACTACTCTGGTATATGATAGTTAAAGAGCAAGTTCATTCATAAACATTGTGTATTGTGCTCACTCGTTTAGCATTCAGTAGTTTAACCCTTTTGCTGTAACGGTAAATTGCTCGAAGATATTAATTATAAAACCAGGATTTTGTTAGCTCTGAGAATTTGTTCTAAATTTATTTAGCAGATTGTGGGAAAAAGAAAGAAAGGGTTTCAGTAATTCAGGAATATCTCCAAAGCAATATCTTCTCACATGTACTGTTATTCATCCCAGAATAGAGCACCCTGCTATTTTTTGTTCTACAGCCCTTGTATAGAGCAAAGTGACATCCTTTGTCTTTCCCTACACCTTCCACCTTCATTCTTTTACAAAGACCTTTTGAGACATCCTTTAAGGATCACCTGTCGAGATATTCTTTACAGAGCCCCTGTTGATATATATATATATTATGGAGCATTTGTGAAGATATCTTTTGTATAGCATGTGTGGCTTAGATTTCTTATAAAGCATTTTTGTTAACCTATATTGTTCTATATTTTCTTCTGTTCTTGTAACACATTCTGTAAACAGTAGTTACACTAATTAAGATATTAATATAAGTGGATAGTCTATTTACTAACAAAGTTTTCAGTGATGTTTATTTTTGACCTGAAGGAAATTGTATATTAAATAGAATCTCATAAAAGTTTAGAAACTTTGAAAGTAAGAGCAGCACGGTGGTAATTTCGTTGTTGAACATTTTATCTCTTTGATAATTCACTTATTTAATAAATGATTACTGTATTACTGACTGGTGTTTGTGTCACTAGCTGCTAGGACAAGTATTACCAACAGTCTCTAAAGATCAACAATGACCACTTTTGTTTGATTTCAGATCGAGTATGTTGAAGTCTCATAATACAGTACTGTACACGATCAACCATTTATGATTTTTTGTCTGTGGGAAGATAGAGCATTGTATGCAAATTTCAGAATGAAAGTAGAGCCCTTAATAGAAATCCTGCTGTACTGCACTGTAATTTATTCACATTGTTTATGTAGGGTGCGTGATAAACATACTCGTGCCGATTTATTATTAAATATTTAACAGTAAAAGGGTTAAATATTTGAAAGCACATGTCCTCCCTGTATCAATTTTCCTTTCAGGTTGCTTTAATTATGGTGATATAATGCTAGTATCTTTTTTATGATAGTAATTAAGATACAGCTTTTGTTCATTTGCCAGGTCTTCATGAACTTTTGAGTTAGTCATGTGTGTCTTCTGTGTTACTCTGCTGTACTTGGATATTACATGAAAGATACTGTATTCCTCAATATTTGCTAGTTTAGATTCCTGTATATATTCCATCCATCATCTTAATTTAATTTATTACATTACTTCTAAGTGGAAGTGTGTGTGCATATATATATATATATTATTTACCTCATATCCAGAATCTATTTACTGTATGCAACTTGTGTGGATGAAGTTGCCTTAAGCTTATAGCTGCTCTTGGGATCATTAACACCATGGTAAATATTAAAAAATGCCATGCAGTGAACCATCACTTGAATAGACTAATTGGGAGGGACCCATTCAAATCACCAAGGACCTTGCATTTTATTCCATTCCAAATGACACAACACGGCTTTGCACATACATACACAACAAAATAATACGTATGTATATAAACAATATATTTTAATGATAAAACAGGAAGGAAGAAAAACAAGTTTAAATATTTTTTTTTTTTTTTTTTTAATGCCTAGATTGCCTTGTTACCATTTCTAGGTTTGGTGCCTTCTTTTGATAATTACTTGCTTACTTGCCTGTCCATGTGTCAGTAAGGGTTTATGGTGTTCCTTGTCTGCAGTTACTGCTGTCATTCTATTTGTGTTGATGTAGGTCAGTCTTCTTCCCACCTGTATTATTTGGACTGCTCAACAAGCTATGACTCCCTTGTTTGTGTTATCCAGGCATTCTGGTCCTTGCCTGCTGAAGGAAGTTGGCTTTTGCATATGTAGTCTGCTGGTGCTACTACTTTGGCTGCTGTTTAGCATTCTTCTCCAGCTTCCTGGCTTTATCCCATCGGTTGGAGCTCCATACAGTTTCAGTTAATGTGCCCTTGAGTGTGGGTAGTGTCAGCATCAGTTGGGACCGTTTTCTTTAGGGTTTTTACAACAGCTGCATGGTTTCGAGGTGTGTTTTCAGGAGATTGCTCGCTTTTGGAACAGTGAGTTTAGGGTCTAGCTATGGCCCCCCCTTCTCTTGCAGCAGGATTGAGTTTTAGGTTTTTGTATGGGGAGATTCAGAGTTTGCCCTACCTCTTTACAGCCTTGTTATAAGTTGATGGGTTGTTTCTCTCATGAGGCTTCTTTTGTCTTCCCTCCCTGTAAGTTTTTTGTACTACCCCTTGTGCGTGCATTTCCAAGTTATGAGTTCGTCTTGCCGCATTTTGCTTCATAGATAAAAAGAGTATAATTTGCTGTTTCACTACATTCAACACTCATTCTGGGTTTTCCCAGTTGTACTACTATCACTCAGTCACATCAATCTACAATACTGTACAGTACTAAGACAGCTTGGTGAAGCAGACACCTTATTCCAATCCACCAAGGTTTTGTTCACGGGAAAATTTTGATCGGTGGTCTATCAGCAAGAGTAGGCTGGCTAGAAAAGGAGCAAGGAGAGAGGCATCATTACAGTAAGTACAGGACTATATTTGAGAGCGAAAGTTATAACATGGGCAAAATTGTTAATCATGGCATAGTGGTGGAGCTGATAGCTGACAATGACTTTGGTTTTGATGTAACGGGGGGTGGGATTGGATCACTATGATCCAATTACGTAATTGGATCATAGTGATGTTAGCAAAGATGCTGTATAGATTAAAAAAAAAAATCTCTGGCTCAATTATTAACAAGTTTTGATCACACTATTGAGATCTACTGTACTAGTGTTAACCAGAAGATTGATGTACCTTCATTCAGGTAAGTAAAAACAACCAATAATTTTCTTGAGTAAACCATTGAATATATTGTTTATGCACAAGGACCTATTATGTCATTTGATATATACAAAAATTTAAAATTTAGATACATTATGTGGCACAATGTATTTATCTTGGAATGTACCTTTTATCTTTAGTTTTAAGATTTTTGGATATCAGGTAAGTAAATTTGTGTGTATATTATGTATATAATACATAATACACTAATTACTACAATGTAATATCACATACATACATACACTACTATACAGACACAGTTATCCCCTTGTACAATAGTTTTTGTGTAACTAAATATTTTAATTGTGTGCTACTGTATTACACTACTCAGGCTCTAAGAGACCATGATTTTGGACATGACCTGTATATCACAACCACCCTTTCATTATGCCATATTCTTTACATAAAACAATAGAAAACAATTTATAAGCCAGTACAGTATACTCATTGCAGGTTACGGGTAGACCCCAGCAGGGTCTGACACCCATACAATTTACTACCATCCAAGGGGTTGGAAGTCAATAAATGAAAACCATTTGTTTGGAAGGGTACGAACACTCACAATATGCTATCAAGGGATAAGCATTTAAACAGGATCTCTAACTATATCTCATGCACACACATACATGTATGTTAGAAGGAATGTTTTTCATTGTCATAGTTAAGAAATGGAATGCATTAGGAAGTGATGTTGTGGTGAAAGACAACAGTTTCAAATGCAGATATGAAAGAGCCCAATAGGCTGAGAAATCTGTACACGAAGAAATATAAGAAAATTCACTTTCACAAACAGTGGTAGACGGAACAAGTTAGGTGAGAAGGTGGAGGAGGCCAAAACTGTCAGTAATGTCAAAACGTTATATGACAAAGAGTGCTGGGTAGACGGGACACCACGAGCGTAGCTCTCATCCTGTAACTACACTTAAGTAATTACCAGTTGAGCCAAAACTCAACCCCTGCAAGCACACTTAGGTGAGTACACATTCCTGCCCTTAACACAAGTACTGTTCTGTTTTAAATCAGGGTTTGCCCATACAAATGATGTATAACTTTTATCATCTAGCCCAATTTTTCTATTGTTCAGTTTAATGAATTTCCAATTTACCAAGAGTGTTGATTGTAAAATCAGTTGAAATTAAAGAAATAACTGAAGCATTTTGGTGGAACAAATCACTTATTTTCTTGACCAAAATGTGTTGCCAAACAAATTAAAAAACAAAATGCATACAGGACACTACTTTTTCTGTATGATTTTGGTATTGAAAAATTCTTTAAAATAAGAATATTTTTTTTATAAGTGGCGAAAAAGAGCAATGATAAGGATGCAAGTGATTCAATTTGGGTGGATTTCTACTGTGTACACATAATATATATTATATATATATATATACAGTATATATACACATACACAGTACGTATATTATAAATTAGCTTGAGTTTAAGATGTATACAACCTTAGTTCTTATTCATTTGTTACTGTAATATTTATATAAATTTCTGTAATATAAGTGAAGGTAGAAGTCATTACTGTAGTAATATCTCATCGTTTATGGAGTAGGCTGGATGACACCTGCATTGGTCATAATGTCAAGATATATATATAAAACAGCTTCATTCCAGACACAGTAATGTATAATAATAGAGACCTTAATGCAAGACAAATGATGTAAAAAACAAAAAAAAAACAAAAAAAAAAACTTGAGAGCTTGGTTAGTGTACAGTTAAAAAAACAAAAATAAAAAAAAAAGTTCTCATGTACATCATCTTTTGAGATGACAAATCATTGATATTGTATCCAGGCAATACAGTTTGCCCTTTCAATACTCTGTGAATTTAGTTTTGATGGCTATAAATGCGTCAAGCATGAGTACTTGAATGAGGTTCTCTAGACTTTTCATACTTATTGTGGTATTTTATCTTGTCAGCCATTTTTGACAAGGGTTGAAACACTGTAAAGTACAT